GGTATCTATCTAGGTCAACTATCATGTGCAACATAACTTGTCCATTAGTCTGAATGTATAGTGTGTTCAGACCTCCCTCAGCGTGTCTCCATGGTTCCTATGTTATTATATTTTCAATGAAATCATATAAAGTGTGTAATGTGCGGATCGCACGTACACTCATTGTTTAAGCCTGTTCAAAACGTACAATTTTCTTTTAACGTAAAGGCATCCTTTATGGTAATAGCATTAAGGCTAAAAAGCCCTTTCTGACATTGCCTCTATCAAAGGATGCTATTCGATGCATTCGGTTCATTTAGTCACATGTGTCACTTATTAAAACAAGAATTTTATGTACAGTGTTTACTAGAGAAGAATATGTACCCCAATCCTAGTCTACGGTATCAAGTACAACACAGAAGTGTCGAGGGCTTTGTGACCATTTTTAACATGTGATCTGTCTTATCCCTACCTCTTGTTACACCAGGCGGACAACACATTTGCTATGACGTAATAGATGGTACTTTGGAAAGACAGATGTTGATCATGAGAAAGCTTTGGGGCATTGCCCTAGCGAATGGTATATCTTTGTACATACTGAGGTTTCCTTATTTCCGGAAGTGTTTCCATTTCCAAACGCTTATTAAGAAATAATCTACACTTTCAAAACAGTTAGGCTTAGTATTTAGAGGAATAATCTACCTTTTTGTGTTTTGAATGGAAACAATATGGATACTAGACGAAGCACTATTCTAATGTCCTTATAATGAAGGGGCGATAAAAGGCTAAAAGTGCATGTGTAATAGCAACATGTGTAACAATATAAACCGGTACTAAACCCTACTGATGCCTGTCGACCTAAGAATACACAAATAGCCTAGGGGTACTTAGGACTCATTCACGGATGTCAAGTACATAGGGGGGGGGGGGCATCACATGGGGAATTTAGTGACAACTAACATTCATATTTCATCTCTCGCTTTGTTTTACAAGGTAAATCCATTTTCCTTCTTTTGTGTAGCAAAAACTTACGAATCATAATCATTTGCTACTTTACTTCCGAATTTGTTTATGAATTTTGTAAATACATTTCTTAGGGAGTATGGTTCCCCTGTAGTGCGCTTAAAAAGCAAGGTCAACTTCACACACGGTATTGCGCGTGTATTACAGTCGAGATGTTATGCTACACGTGTTTTACGGCTAGCCTGTCGCTAGAACCAGATACAGGACATGTTAAAGTACATGAACTCTGGATATTAATCCCTTTAATTCCCTTTAGCCTGATTGATAACGAATAGGAAGTATACCAGTCATATGATGCTGATTCGGTTACCAGTGTACTTTTAGTGTCTGCCTCTCAATCCCAAACTTCTACACCAACGCCTACAGTGGTACCGCGAACATTGATGTACTATTTCGTCAATGATATAGTCCACGGGGAAATTCGTTCAATTCTAAATTAACTTTGATAAAATGGATTAAAAAACACACAAAATGACATATTGTTTTCATATTAAGATTGTACAGTGCCACATTTACAGATTTAGGCAGAAACAATTATCAAATTAATACAGTGGCACGTTAACGTAATATGTCTGAATTTCATATGTGTTGTAAAAAATGGAGGAACCAATTCATGAATAACTTAGATGAGTGATGGCCACATTCCTGTCGCACAACATACTTTGTTTGTAATGATAGAAAGCAAACCTTGTATCGTATAACAGGTTAACCCTGTATCGTATAACAGGTTAACCTTGTATCGTATAACAGGTTAACCTTGTATCGTATAACAGGTTAATCTTGTATCGTATAACAGGTTAAGTTCCCTGTACCGTATAACAGGTTAACCCTGTATCGTATAACAGGTTAAGTTCCCTGTACCGTATAACAGGTTAACCATGTATCGTATAACAGGTTAACCTTGTATTGTATAACAGGTTAACCCTGTATCGTATAACAGGTTAAGTTCCCTGTACCGTATAACAGGTTAACCATGTATCGTATAACAGGTTAACCTTGTATCGTATAACAGGTTAACCTTGTATCGTATAACAGGTTAACCTTGTATCGTATAACAGGTTAACCTTGTATCGTATAACAGGTTAACCTTGTATCGTATAACAGGTTAACCTTGTATCGTATAACAGGTTAACCTTGTATCGTATAACAGGTTAACCTTGTATCGTATAACAGGTTAACCTTGTATCGTATAACAGGTTAACCTTGTATCGTATAACAGGTTAACCTTGTATCGTATAACAGGTTAACCTTGTATCGTATAACAGGTTAACCTTGTATCGTATAACAGGTTAACCTTGTATCGTATAACAGGTTAACCTTGTATCGTATAACAGGTTAACCATGTATCGTATAACAGGTTAACCCTGTATCGTATAACAGGTTAACCTTGTATCGTATAACAGGTTAACCATGTATCGTATAACAGGTTAACCCTGTATCGTATAACAGGTTAACCCTGTATCGTATAACAGGTTAATAACCCTGTATCGTATAACAGGTTAACTTTGTATCATATAACACGTTAACCATGTATCGTATAGCAGGTTAACCCTGTATCGTATAACAGGTTAACCCTGTATCGTTTAACAGGTTAATAACCCTGTATCGTATAACAGGTTAACTTTGTATCATATAACACGTTAACCCTGTATCGTATAGCAGGTTAACCCTGTATCGTATAACAGGTGAATAACCCTGTATCGTATAACAGGTGAATAACCCTGTATCGTATAACAGGTTAACTTTGTATCATATAACACGTTAACTATGTATCGTACAACAGGCTAACCCTGTATCGTATAACAGGTTAACCCTGTATCGTACAACAGATTAACCCTGTATCGTATAACAGGTTAACCCTGTATCGTACAACAGATTAACCCTGTATCTTATAACAGGTTTACCATGTATCGTATAACAGGTTTTATAACCATGTATTCTATGCGAGTTTCTGTAAGAACTGCAATAGGAAGCTCCATTTAACTTTCGTGAAAACTACATACAGTTCTCCGTTAAAATCACATGTGAATTTTTGCATTGAAAAATGATCCTTTACTCATGGAGCTTTCCCTACCAGAAGTTGTTATTTGTTTATCGACTAAACACGGAAGCTGCTATTTAACACATTGTTTGTATTACAATCAGAATATTGATAAACAATTCATTTTCATCGTCAAAATAATATCCAACTTTAATATGATTACTATATTTTTCTAAGCGCACACAATCTTACTTAGAAAATTGTCATATCATATTTGCTGATACCCAGGGCCAATTCTGAAATTAGGATTAAAATATTGACTAAAGCGCCGCCGTCAGGCAAAATGAGTAAGGCTTTTAACTGTCGTTGAGATATGAGGATTGATTCGCTTTTGACAAATGAATAATATCGGTTTCAAAAGGTCTCTGGGCCAAAATATCATATAGCTGCAATATGCAATTTGAAATGATTTTATTTGTTTCACAAATACGAATCCCTACCAGCGTTGCGTAAAATGTCGTTCAAAAATAATGGGTAGCCGGATGGCACGTTGTATTTTTTTCTTGATTTCACGGCGGGGGTGAGATTTTCCTATCGTACATGAACAATAATGGTGTCACTCACCCTGCCCCGTACGTGTCACCCTACCCCGTACATGTCATCCTACCCCGTACATGTCACCCTACCCCGTACGTGTCACCCTACCCCGTACGTGTCATCCTACCCCGTACATGTCATCCTACCCCGTACGTGTCACTCTCTACCCCGTACGTGTCACTCTCTCCCCCGTACGTGTCACCCTCTACCCCGTACATGTCATCCTACCCCGTACATGTCTCCCTACCCCGTACGTGTCACCCTACCCCGTGCGTGTCCCCCTACCCCGTACTTGTCACCCTACCCCGTACGCGTCACCCTCTACCCCGTACTTGTCACCCTCCCCCGTACGTGTCACCCTCTACCCCGTACATGTCATCCTACCCCGTACGTGTCACCCTCTACCCCGTACATGTCATCCTACCCCGTACTTGTCACCCTCTACCCCGTACGTGTCACCCTACCCCGTACGTGTCCCCCTACCCCGTACTTGTCACCCTACCCCGTACATGTCATCCTAACCCGTACGTGTCACCCTCTACCCCGTACGTGTCACCCTACCCCGTACGTGTCACCCTCTACCCCGTAGGTGTCATCCTACCCCGTACGTCTCACTCTCCCCCGTAGGTGTCATCCTAACCCGTACGTGTCACCCCTCCCCCGTACGTGTCACCCTACCCCGTACGTGTCACCCTCTCCCCCGTACATGTCATCCTACCCCGTACTTGTCACCCTCTACCCCGTACGTTTCACCCTACCCCGTACGTATCCCCCTACCCCGTACTTGTCACCCTACCCCGTACGTGTCACCCTCTACCCCGTAGGTGTCATCCTACCCCGTACGTCTCCCTCTACCCCGTACGTGTCACCCTACCCCGTACGTGTCCCCCTCTACCCCGTACATGTCATCCTACCCCGTACTTGTCACCCTCTCCCCCGTACGTTTCACCCTACCCCGTACGTATCCCCCTACCCCGTACTTGTCCCCCTACCCCGTACGTGTCACCCTCTTCCCCGTAGGTGTCATCCTACCCCGTACGTCTCACTCTCCCCCGTACGTGTCTCCCTACCCCGTACGTGTCACCCTCTCCCCCGTAGGTGTCATCCTAACCCGTACGTGTCACCCTCTACCCCGTACGTATCACCCTACCCCGTAAGTGTACTTCTTGTATTCCATTTCCTCCCACATTAAAATATCATCCGCACTTCCATCCAGACCAACAAAAGTGATTAATATAAGTCGATAAAGCTTGTTTAATAATTGCTGTAAAATAAATGAAATTTAGTTGGTTTACAATTACGTTTGATTATGATTCATAAACAACGAAAACGGCATTCAAACTATGGTAAATCATTGAATTTGATTCTCAATCAGCATAAAGTTAAAACGATTAAACATTGTTACATTTGTTCATTTCAGGGTAACCTGACCCTCCGTGAGGCGTTTCGACACTTCATGGCCAGAGTGGGACACAGAAACCTGAGTGATGACGGCGACTACTCCTATGATGATTACCTCACCAACCTTCACAACAAAACTCGGGAATACATCGAGAGTCGAGGTCATCAGATTGACGACGACCGGGAACTCCTCCGGAAGCACATGTTTGTCGTAGCTATCATCATATGTGTCTTCACTGTTGTCTTCAATCTCGTTCTTCTTCTAGTCATTCTGACAAGTCGCAGTCTTCGGACGAAACCCCTTTTCTGGAATATCATCAGTCTGACCATTTCGGATCTGGTGGTCGGGTTGTTCGTGCTGCCCGTTAGACTGGAGTACACGGATGCAATGACGTGGAACCATGGCATCGCTATTTGCAAAGTCTGGTCAGTCTTGGATATAAGTCATTTCAGCCTTTCGGCTATGGTCCTGGTCAGCATATGCTCCGAGAGGATTTTGGCCAAAATGGAGACTATAACCTCGATCGGGACCCAGACCGTAAAGATGTTGTCAGTGGTGGTGACGGTATTTCCTTGGGCATTTCTCCTGTGTGTGTGTCTACCCGTGCTGATTGTTGGAGAAGAGAACATCCGCTACGAGAAAATGATACACTTTGGTAGTGTGTGTAACTACGTTTTGGAATCCTCTTTCTTTATCCCGTCAGTAACAGTCATGTACATTCTTCCTTCCAGTGTACTTATCCTTGTTGTTGTTGCCATGATGTGCGTCTACGTCATCAAAGGCACTGCCTGGGAACGCCTCAACTCGAATACCACAGAATCGGAGAGAAGGAGTTTGCGCATGTCTACGGTTGCTTCCTTGGTGGTTGGTATGGTTACCATTATATTTTGGTTTCCATACATAGTCCTGCTGTTTGTATACGTGACATGTCGAGATTACACATGTCTTCCCAGCCAAGTGACCTCAGCTATAATATTTATGGTATCTATCAGTACGTCAGCTGTGACGCCGTTCCTGTGGCTACTCATTGTCGAAGTCAGGGAAACGCTTGTTTCAGAAATGAATCCAATCTTGCATAAGATACATACGAGATTAGGATTCCGAAAAACACCAGTTGAACGGGAACACAGCACGGAGCTCTTGGTAGACAATGACTTGTAACTTCAGTAACACGCTCTAAATGTTGTTAACTTAACGGTAAATGTTCTCTCTGAACAGGAGCAATCAATGTCACTCTAACAAAGTTGACCTCTTAGGTTTCAGATGTTATGGATTTGCCTTTTTGACATGAATGACTACAAAATCAATGCAATTTAATGAACGTGTGATAGCGTGAATGTACAGAGGAGGACACAGAGCACCATATAAACAAACGGAGAATTCTGCTTACAGCGCGGCATGGAGAACGCCATTGCCACAAATCGCGCGGCATGGAAAACTGTAATGCCACACATTGCGCGGTAAGGAGAACAGTAGTGTCCGATATAGTCAGCGTAGCCGACGGACAGTAAGCACATAGAAACAATTATAATAAATCAACAAGAGCGATATTGTGTTGATGACATTTCTAACCTTAAAATCATTCAATTTGATATAATTGGGTTATCCTGCTTTGAGCGTCTGTTCGCCAAGCATTGTGTTGGCCTCCAAAACTGCAATATGTTGGTGTCTAATGAATGAGCGTGTTGAGTTGTTGTTACGAAGGTTTAGTCAAAACGTTATGATGAAATTCGATCAATGCAATTTCAATATGTGTTTATTTACTTCTTGACAGTCTGCATTACTTCTTCAGCGATCGTGTTAGAGACGTATCAGTTCAAAACCACACAAAGGCAAAACAGTTTCAGTACAACTAATTGTTTTTAAAAGTGGAGTATGGGATATGTTCCTTTTGAATCTCAAATCATATCATGTGCATAATCAATATTACATGTACATAAAACGTGATCTTATCTTTTAGGTGATTTGAATATTACCCGATTCCATTGGGAACAAATACCGGTATGGTATCGTTTCATTGAATTTATGTTGATGACCCCTGTTTTATGTTGATGACCCCTGTTTTATGTTGATGACCCGTGTTTTAGATGTTATCGAAGGAGGTCTGTGTACTGCTTTATTGGCAACTGCACTGACAACCTTTGAAACTTTATATTTAAAACATTGAAAGTACCAAGGTGTCTAGAAAGAGTAGCTTGAAGTGCTTCATATTTGCGAGATATAATTGTCAGACTCGGTGTTTACACCAAACTTAAGAAAGCTGTGGATTTGTCCCCAAAAAGGCTTGTATTTAAAATATCAATGTTCACTGTTATTGGTGGAGGTTTCTAACGACCTTAGATAATAAATGGTTGCAAACGTTAATTAACACGGTTCAATAAAATGGAAATTTATCCGGATTATAAAGCAAACCACTTTTAATATAATTTGATAAACGGCTTATAAACTGTAAATAATACCGGTGAAGTACAATTCAGACATATCGTTTATATTGTTTATAATATCTGTGTTTTTACATCATATTTCGTACTGTTTTGGAAATCATCAACAAAAAATGTCGACCAGCCTTACATCATAAAAAATGATATTCAAAAAAGTAATGATCTTTGATATTCTTTGCGTTAAACTACAGTGTAGTTTGGAAATTGCAACAATGTGATATGACAAAACATACAATATGAGACCAAGTCCAAATTTGTGATACCGATTTATTTCATATTCAGAAAATCATTTCGACAGTATCGTGACAAGATTCATAACAAGTAATACTGACAAATTCTTAAATGGAAACATTAAAACCAGAACCGACACGACAAGGGACCAATCTTCCGTTCGGAAGAGACAGGTTGCTGGGTAAAACGGGTTCGATGCAAGTTTGAGAGTCCCGCGGCTTTTTTAACTGTATGAGGCCTTAAAGTAGCGAGACCCACCATACAGGCATGAAGATAGCGAGTTCTACCCATTTGCTTCTATGAGTAGGCCTTCAGGTAGAGATACGCACCACCTGTCTACCTTTACTGCTTTGCTTCTTTAAATGAGCCTTAAGGTAAAGAGACCCACAACTTGCCTACTGCATACAGGCTTTATGGTAGCGAGTCCCGCCACTTTTCTACTTTATACAGGACTTTAGGTAGCGGATTATACCGCGTTGCTTCTGTAAATGGACCCTAAGTTAGATAGCTCACTACGTTTACATTATATCAGAATTATACCCCTCTGGATGACGTTTACAGTTAAAACATTTAGCAAACGTATTGACCGGCAGCGCAGTAGAATGAGGGCCAAGGCTGGAGCCCCCGAAGCGGAACTCATAATAAATAATTTTGTTTTGAATAATTCTTTGCATAGTATATGATAAAGCAACTTTACGTAAGAAAACTGCTGAACTATTTGGGGTAAAAAAACAGTCTTTGTTTGAGATACAATGTGTAGTGCTGGGATCCTTTAAACTACAAAATGTGTGAAGTGGTGGGGGTACAAGCGGTCTTACTTGATAGTACCCCACACATAACCTGGTCCTCAGTACAACCTGTAACAAGTCGATTGTTTAATCAATATCATGTTTTGATAAAACAGTTGAAGCCGTGGAATATAGATAAGTCACATTCTGTCTCAAATACCAGTATAATGTGTATACTGGTCTAATCATTCTTCGGGGTCATATCGCAATTTATAATAAAAATATTATTCTTGAATATGGTTTCTCCATTTTGGAGGGTTTCATCATCTATGGGACCACTTCATTCGGATCAGAATAGTTACTATCTATATGTTTATGTCACTTCGTTACCTGTCCACTTTGTCTTTCGGTGATTTCTCAAATTTATCCATTGTAATTATTTTTCTTAAATATATCCATTTTAAATTTTAACTGTTAGTCATACATCCCTACACGTCTTAAATGAATTACAGTTTGAATATGTATACATATTTTTTTAATGTGGATAAATGGATTATCTAAATTTCCACATTGATTGTCATAATATTATTTGAAATCACCTTTGTAAAGTACTGTATGATATAATTATATATTACAGTGTGTATGAATATCATTTTCTTTGCTTTTTGATATACATAAATTGTAGAAAAACCTTAAATGGGTCCGATGTTTAATAGAATGAATGGGAATGTCATACATATAACTATGAAATCGGATTTTTCCATGGAGTCCCAATTATGTGGGTTTTCCCCGACAAAACACCATTTCGTGGTTAACAAGTTCAATGTACCCACTCAAAAGGAGAATAGATTGATATCAAACTTGTAACTATTTCGTGAATCTATGAATTCAAAGATGAAAATTTCCAAGGAAATCGACGAATTTAAAAAACCTACCTACCAAAAATAGTGATTTCCCAGTATGTATTCATTAGGTAGCTCATAGAAAAGATATGTACAGTCATTGTATCGACTAGACTGACTTTATGTCATTGTCGCGTTTTTCAGTCGCTTACAAAATGACATCGCTATTTTCAAGTTTCATCATATATATTTTCATCAAATTATTCAACATATGCGCGATGGTTTCGTCAGAAATTTTAAGTACTTGTATTAAATAGTTCACCATGACCTTAGATAACAACTGCATCATTATAATGTTTTATACAGAAATATGTAGTTATCTTCTTTAAAGAGCAAAACAAAAAAAATAATTGATAAGATCTAAAACATTGTATTAAACATTTGTCGTTTCTTTTATCTTACATTTTCTAACCTAGTAACTTATCCGAAAATAATACACTTCTTTACAAGTAATCAATTAAAACATGAAATCGAGTATATTATCACACACAAACACACCTGTATATAACTACAACCTGATAATGCAAACCGTTTGATATAACTTAATCATAACTTGATATCAATCTATACACGTCTACGGTATTCATACATGAAGTAAAATAGAAAATAATAAAACGAAAGCGCCATTAAAAAAAGGAAACATCGAACTTCAAAGTAGTTAATTATGTAAGGTCTGTACACGCATCGCCCAGTGAGATGAGGTAAGGTCGTTTCTGTATCATATAACGTACTACCTGTGAAATTCATCAGTAGCACCGTTCAGGTAAAAGGCTGTAATATTGAAATGATTTTAATAGAAACGGGGGTGTTATGATGATACTTAAAAGTGACAAATTTAATCTTAAATCTTTTAAACCATATTTATTGTTGTTGTGGAAATGGTTTGCCGCGTTTAAACGCCTAACTTTCCGCAAAGCTCTTTTTGATTACTGCATGATAGTTACATATGTATATAAAGTGTATTATTTTTTATTTGCGCCATACATACACATTTAAACATTATAATGTATACTGTAACTCTGCGCCAATTATGTTACATATGTTATTCAACGTTGTGCCATAAATATTCGTCAAGATATATTGTATTATTAGACTTGAGTCAAATGTGTAGCCAATAGTGTATGGTATTACTCGCGAAGGACGTATTATTGAGCAACCTGTTTACCAGTTATTCAGGTAAGGTATAAGGGCCGTATGTACATGACATTGTTTATGATGAGTGACATATGTAAATGAGGGATATTTACATAGAGATGGGGACTGTGTAATATTGTTTTGTTCTAGATATCAACGTTAAGCCTTGTGTCAAAGTTGTCATATATATCTACATATGCTATAAAAGTGCTGTTTTGTATTCATACAGCCAGAAGAGATTGTATACTGTGTCTGTACTTGTATGGACTACCCTGTGTGTTGTTGTGTATATGTTATGTACTTGCAATTCGTGTAACGCGCTGTGCACAGTATGCTGGTGTTCCGTTGATCTGTGTGCCTCTATATCCCGTTTGACAGGAACCGTCCATGTATCTGATTGTGTAAACAATAAAATCGATGTTGTGCTAGCTCCAGCCTTAGTTTGTCTATAGCTGTAGCCACCTAATCTGACACGCTAATGTGGTACTGGACACATGACCTTTTTATAGGATTGTTTTCGAGTGGACAGGCAGATTGATCGTCTCCACTGTTAATGGGGTATCATACTATTCTTGTTTACAATCTGGTTTCTGGGGCATTTTTCTGTGATAGTTTTGCTGGTAAATATAATTTCCAAATCATTTATGTGCGATTTTATCCCAATGTGATAAAAAAAAAAACTTGTTTTGTTAATATATAAACAACCCATACAATATAATTTATACAATATCAGACAATAGGGGGCAATCCACAAATAGCCATTTTATTCAAATTAATTAATTTCTAACAATGGCGAATAATGGGATTTCGCTCGATGTCAGTTCAGGGTTTGTTATTAATCGCAGTAAACAGAGACGGTTGATCAACGACCACATAGAACAACAAGTAATGTATTACACAGTACGCATTGTCTTTAGTAATATCCGGTAAAACATTGTATACACAGAAATGTGTAACACATGTGAGTCCGCTCTTATCCACCGTGCAAAGTGTGTCTCCAAGACTGGTGGTATTTGTAGAGGGTCCGCTGCTGGCAGCGGTTTAGTTATTCCAATAACGGACTCCCAATCCCGTGGCATTTGTGAGATTCTGAACACTAAGACCCAGACAATTCGTCCACAAATATACAGTAATTTACAGCATACAATCTTGATACAAGTCGTTTCCAGATCTGATGTAATTGTGACAACGTCCCGAAAGAGAACCGAAATCCGTTGAACTTGTAATAGTATATACCGGACAAATAGTTTGTCGAAAGTGCTCAAAACATGAAAACAAAATCATAGTGGGAAGGATTTTTAGTGTATATGAATTTGTTGAAAATAGAAGTCGATAAGAATCAAGTTTTCCTCCAATCAACTGGTATCCTAACAAAGTTCTGTCAAGGTACACAAATATTCTTCGACAACAGAGACAGATTTTGTGATCGGGTTCATGAGGAAGGGTAGAATTAATATAGAACAGGTAATAACTGTCACGGGGAGAGTTACAGAAGTCCACCAAAGAGCCCGTGTAGTCGCACGAGATGCGTTGGAAAACATTTGCATTGCCTCCATACCCTTGCTGGGTCAGTTGGAGCAAACAAAAAGGGACTGTTAGCATCACTTTGGCGTAGACCCATAAATATATCGATCAATTATAGGCCATGGCGGCCATGCTTGATGACCGATCGGAAGATGAAACGCGTTCTGCACATTTACACAGCATGGCGGCCATGCTTGATGACCGATCGGAAGATGAAACGCGTTATGCACATTTACACATGCCCATCGATGCTGAGGATCCAGCCAGCACGAGAGGACCAAGAAGTAGAAAAGAAGGATGCATAATAATATGAAGAAGAAACGCAACAAAATCAGAAGGCCCCCACTTTGTTTGGGGGAATAAAAAACAACTAGCAGTGAAGGAGAGAGGGAGATATTACGATATTTCATATTTCAAAACATGTATTGTATTGTATTGTATTGTTTATTAGCTTCAAGCCTTGCGGCTCATAGGCATATTATTACAACATTTATACAGACGTGCCCAAAAAGGACAATTAAAATAAGTTTACTAATAATTTCGGTAACTTGACAGTATTGTAAGGCTTAATTACAAATGGACAACAAATAGTAGTTATATAATCACCTGTGGTACACCGAGAGGGGGATAGTTAGTATCCTGTACGTTAGAAGACGAACCTAAAGTTAATAATTGTAAAATATACTAATTTCGAAATCTTGACCGTACTAGAAGGCTTAAGTGCAGGTATATTACGAGATTAAATATTTCTTTTTTATTATGTATTGCTAGCAACTGCATCAGTTTAAATGAAGACGGTCTGTTCCAGTAATATTTTTTATGTATTTCTTACGAAAATCTGCATAAAGTGGACATATTAAAACATAATGAAATTCGTCCTCAACTGAGTGTTGATCACAATAATTACTAATTATACTAACCCTTGGGGTATTAGAATATCTGCCTTCTTCAATGCATAACTGATGTTACGAAAGTCGAAATTTTAGAAACTAATCTAAGGTAAACATCCGAAATAGACGTTGTCAAATAATACTGGAGCGTAAAACTATCTATCAAAAACCTGAACAAAAAACATTTTGATAAATTTTCAACAAATTCGTTCCGCTTTTGAATGAAGTTATTTATTAAACGCTGCTTAAAACATTGTAAAAACACATTTTCATTCACTACATAATGATTTAACCAAACATCCCCGAAACGCGAAGTTACTAACAAGTTTTTGACTTGGCATCGCCATTTATAGTTTCTGTGATTACATTCATCACGTAAAATCAAAACTTTGATATATATATTTATCTGACGTCACATATTGCTATGTTTATCATTACATGAACTTGCTTTTATAACAAACATGCATGTATGTCTGAAAATATATATACCGCAGCATTAGCATACAAAAAAACACCGGAAATTATGGAACCATCAAAAATAATAACTACGGGAAAAATCACAACAGTAGGAAACATATCAAGGTATTATTGACGCCTCTAATAAGAAATAAATTTTAACCCTTTCACCCCCATGTAACTTTAATAAACTCTACCTTGCATTGATCTGGATAGGTCCATTATGGTCTATAGTTGTGAAAGCTTTAGTAGTGTATTGGTCACCAGACGTATATGTCCAGAACCTCTTTAGTAGAGGAGATGTTACTGTAGAGCAAAGGAAAGCTAACGACCGTCAAATACAAGTGATTAATAAATCGTTATTATCAGGATAATAGGAAGGTAAGAGCAAACGAGTAACAAGTAGTTCTAAACATTCTTGCTATTTACGAACAAACATAATCCACTCATTTGAATGAGAAATAAAAAAAAAATGGGAAATATCTTTAATTACTATTGAATTATCCTTGTATGAAGTAAGCTTAATAAAATATAAAAGTAGATCAGCTAGAAGTTCTTCCAATTAAAGTGACTTTATTTTTAAGAAGGAAATCAGTATAACTGCTAGTGAAGTGAGATTATATGTATATCGTGCAAAAATTGTACCCACGTATGTTTATTTATGCTGGTCTCTGCGGAGTACAGTGTACGTACCGTACATTCACCAGGCATCGCTGTGGTGAACAACATAGGAAGTTCATAAATGTCTTAAACGTTTCCGATAACACTTGTCTTTATTCTACTAGTTTGTCTGGTAACCGATCTGATCGCAATCTGATAATCCTATTAATTGAGACGCTGTATGTCATACCATTCGGAACACCTCTCCCCGATTACAGTTCCTTCCATCGAAGATGACAGAATCGGCCGAGGAGTTTCGAGTGAGTTCCTTTTATAAAAGATGACCGAACCGGCCGGGGTGTTCCGATTGTATGTCATACCTGCTACTTGCATGTCCAGTTGAATGCGTCTACCACAACTGGATTGAAAATTGAATTTCTAGATGTTAATAGATTCCGTTAAATTCTTTCTTGAGAACTAGGGGAATCCTACTTTGACATCCTCCATTATTCTCACGGCAGTTTTATCGCTGGCTCTAAAAGTTTATTAACCAAACTAATACCGAACCGCTTATTTCAGACTCGATTGATAAATGAACTTTTAGATGATCATGGCATTTCATAGCATTTTGTGGTGCTACAAATTAGCTAGAAATGTCACAAACATTGTAAATAAAAATTTCTATAATAATGTTCAAAATATGTCTAGCTATCTTTTTTAATGATACGAACGCACGCTATATATAAACTGCATTTTATCAAACACTGTCACAGGGTCCTTCGTTTCTCATTTATTGACTGTGTACACTACAATTGACTGTGTACACTACCATTGACTGTGAACACTACCATTGCCTGTGTACACTACAATTGCCTGTGTACACTACCATTGACTGTGAACACTACCATTGCCTGTATACACTACCATTGCCTGTGTACACTACCATTGTCAATGTACACTACCATTGTCAATGTACACTACCATTGACTGTGTACACTACCATTGCCTGTGTACACTACCATTGACTGTGTACACTACCATTGACTGTGTACACTACCATTGACTTTGTACACTACCATTGATTGTGTACACTACCATTGACTGTGTACAGTACCATTGTCAATGTACACTACCATTGCCTGTGTACACTACCATTGCCTGTGTACACTACCATTGACTGTGTACACTACCATTGACTGTGTACACTACCACTACCATTGACTATGTACACTACCATTGACTGTGTACAGTACCATTGACTGTGTACACTACCATTGACTGTGCACACTACCATTGCCCATACTAAACTTTCTCTTTATAGAAGCTCGTTTCCAAGAATGGCAACCGGCGTTACAAACATACGAGAAAACATTTCAAGCAAATTTTGTTGTAAATACTACGTCGATCGTATATTCTCCCCTGAATTTGTAATCAATTAAACTTTATTTCATACCTCCTGAACAAGAAACCAATCCCATTATTGAATATATTCTCCTGGACTTGAAATATGTTACACCCTTAAATGAAACGTTCACACTTCATAAATAGATAAGTTTAATTCTTATGTGCATAAGAGTTTTGTTAAGGAGCGACAACGAACACAGATGATTTTATTTCTTACAAGCTCCTGTGTTTCCGAACGCTTCTGTAGAACAGATGAACAGGAAAGGCAATTATTGTGTTAGAAATACACATTTTTTTTTACAAAAATTGACATTTGTCACTTTATATATGATTTTAAGTCACGATAAGTATAAAATCCTTTACAAACGGTGCTGAAATGACAAAAAACACAGGTCTTCTAAACAAAGGACTCTATTTCACTCTAGAAACGTATGAAATATATCTTCATCATATAACTTTATATTTCACTGACTAAAATGTTCGAAACACAGATAAACACCAACAGGAAATTATAGGAGACAACGAAAACATTGAATTTTTAACCAAACTATCAACTTCAACACATCCGGACTTCTATTATAATTTAGCACAAGTATCTCGACAGCGGGCTTGTTTTGTTCAATTATTCGCGAAAGCGGACTAAATTTTCCTCGTTGTTTCGACAGTCAACTGTTTATCCTTATTTTCTTGACATAGAATTTGATTTCAACCCAGTATCTCGACAGTGGACTTGATTTGTCCCAGTATCTCGAGAGTGGACTTGATCTGTGCCTGTGTCTCGTAGTTGAACTCAATTTGTCCCAGTATCTCGATAATGACTTGACTTGTCCCAGTATCTCGACAGTGGACTTGCTTTGCCCCAGTATCTCGTTGTTGAACTTGATTTTGTCATAGTATCTCGATATTGACTTGAATCGCCCCAGTGTCTCGATAATGGGCTTGACTTGTCCCAGTAACTCGATAATGGGCTTGACTTGTCCTAGTATCTCGTTATTGAACTTAATTTGCCCCAGTATCTGGATAATGAGATTTACTTGTCTCATTATCTCGATAATGTATTTGACTTGTTTCAGTATCTAGATAGTGGGCTTGACTTATCCAAGTATCTCGATAATGGGCTTGACTTATCCCAGTATCTCGATAATGGGCTTGACTTGTCCCAGTATCTCGATAATGAACTGGTTTTGTCCCAGTATTAGACTTTTACTACATCTATCATCTTCCTCTAAATCTTACTGATGGTACAACTCAACAGAAATTGCTGGAGCATCGGTGTACCAACAGTTGTCCTTCTTCCTTTGAATATATTTTCAGCAAGTACTGAATTAGTTAATCAAGTGTATTGGCAGTATATTAGATACCATGCTGTATGTATACATTTTTCCAAATAACAATCCATCAGCGTTTGTATAACATCAAAAGTGGAAATAATTTGTTCAAACTAAAAATCAATTAAAATGGAAACAATTGAAAAGAGATCATTCATCAATCAATGAATGCGTTCAATCTCTGTCTCCATTTACCCCGATACATATGTTAATGTTGGCTGAGGTAACGTTAATATAATGAGTTTAGGCGTGAACACGGGGACGGTTTAGGTCTTAGTCATAGTAATTATATACTCGTACATATATTAGATTCTCTGACTTACCGACGGTAGCTTCCGGGCCTGACGTCTGTCGTATATGGATATTACGGGATCCCGCCTCTATTTCTAATAAAGTCCTGTAGCCTAAAACACAAAAAAGTTTACTAAACTTATCCAGTTGTATAAATGCTAAATATCTGTTGTATTTGTGACGTACATCATGTATATAGAATAACATTTGTTGTCAATCATCGTGGTACATATTTCAAGATATTGTGCTCTGATATAATAAAAGTGGTTCTCGTTCTTCATTAAAGATACAAATGTACATATGATCAGAGATATTTGTATCATATATTTCCTGTATCACTTGCATGGCTTTCAGCTGACCCTTAAATTCATCGATTTTAGAAGTGAAGCCACTTTTTACCTGAAAATTGAAGGGTCAAACCAAATGTCAAATAGACATATGAAATCCAAGAGTCAAGGTCATTCCGTGACCTCAAAAACATATTCTCCACTGAAAGCCCTGATATTTATTTTTGGGGAGACAAAAAACATCAGCATTTGAAAGCCCTTATACATTGTATGTGTCTGTATATTTGTATGTCTGTATTTGTGTATTACTGTAACTCCGTTACCCACGAGTGTGCTGAAGTCACCAGCAGCTGTATGTCAACAATATCTGGTTTAGGGGTCAAAAGTCAACGGTCCTGTCTTATTTATATTTTGTTCCTTATTCTCACCTGAATGGAGTATCTGTGATATTGAACTTGAAATAACGTCACATGAAGTTCCGTCTCCATCACAGACCCCACACCTGTCGTAGGCGGCACTGGAGGCGAGGTCCTGGTCACAGCCAAGTGTCTGAGGATAGCGAACAGGACATCGTACAACAATATGCATTTAGCCCAAAGTCATACCCCAATAAGGGTACTAAAGCCATCCCTAGGGAAAGATAACAATGATGATTGATGGAAAGGTAGAAACACAAAGGATTAACAAATACCTGGTAGAATGGTATCGGCGACAGTCGTAGTTCTGTTAATAACCTGACATTGTTANCAGACTGACGTACTACATTTGTTTGACAATTCTTCATCGTGTAGCTCGACAAAAACATGATGAACTTTTGTACATGACTATCTATTTCCGAATTTATAATCAATCGTCAGAGTGGTTTAATGCAGAGTGTGGGTCTTTCTTATATGTTCTCCGCTTGATCAGGGTTATCTCTTGAGTATTTTATTTAAGAGATTGACCTTTCTTGTTAATTATTACGTATTTAAGTAGATATCCAATTATCTGATCAACGACATCACAGTCGGCAAGAGAAAATGTACTTCTCGGGGTATATTTCGGTTCCGTCTGAAGGCTAGACCTATCAATTGTGCTGAGTATACCTACCGTCACATACAGTCTTAGAATACGTCAATTATATACCACGACACCGGGGGAAAGCCGAGGCGGATTAAATTATTGACACCATATTATATTTTGTTGAAATATAAAATCCTATTATTTGATTTAATATGGTATTTGCAGGAATCATGAAATGAACACACATTGAAGTGTCTACATACAAGTTACAGTTTGTGGGAATACGTTTCTCGATTGTGTGGAGAGCAATGGCGAAATATACAAAGAGATAGGAAGCCACTTACATCGATTATCAATAAATGGAATCCCTATGGCATGCCTCGCAAACACAAAAGATAAATACATATACATGGCAATGAAGCCACGATTTCTCCTAGTCTAATACTGCTTTGATTTAAAAAGAAGAGAAGAGGTATAGAAGAGACCGCATTGATGTGCTGACAGGTGAAAATAATGGCTTCACATAACAATGTAGGTTTGAAATCAATCTGAGACGTAAACACAGGCATGGTATATTATAAATCAATCTGAAACGTAAACACGGGCATGGTTTATTATAAATCAATCTAAGACGTAAACACGGGTATGGTTTATTATAAATCAATCTGAGACGTAAACACGGGCATGGTATATTATAAATCAATCTGAGACGTAAACACGGGTATGGTTTATTATAAATTAATCTGAGGTATATTATAAATCAATCTGAGACGTAAACACGGGCATGGTTTATTATAAATCAATCTGAGACGTAAACACGGGCATGGTTTATTATAAATCAATCTGAGACGTAAACACGGGCATGGTATATTATAAATCAATCTGAGACGTAAACACGGGCATGGTATATTATAAATCAATCTGAGACGTAAACACGGGCATGGTATATTATAAATCAATCTGAGACGTAAACACGGGCATGGTATATTATAAATCAATCTGAGACGTAAACACGGGCATGGTATATTATAAATCAATCTGAGACGTAAACACGGGCATGGTATATTATAAATCAATCTGAGACGTAAACACGGGCATGGTATATTATAAATCAATCTGAGACGTAAACACGGGCATGGTATATTATAAATCAATCTGAGACGTAAACACGGGCATGGTATATTATAAATCAATCTGAGACGTAAACACGGGCATGGTATATTATAAATCAATCTGAGACGTAAACACGGGCATGGTATATTATAAATCAATCTGAGACGTAAACACGGGCATGGTATATTATAAATCAATCTGAGACGTAAACACGGGCATGGTATATTATAAATCAATCTGAGACGTAAACACGGGCATGGTATATTATAAATCAATCTGAGACGTAAACACGGGCATGGTATATTATAAATCAATCTGAGACGTAAACACGGGCATGGTATATTATAAATCAATCTGAGACGTAAACACGGGCATGGTATATTATAAATCAATCTGAGACGTAAACACGGGCATGGTATATTATAAATCAATCTGAGACGTAAACACGGGCATGGTATATTATAAATCAATCTGAGACGTAAACACGGGCATGGTATATTATAAATCAATCTGAGACGTAAACACGGGCATGGTATATTATAAATCAATCTGAGACGTAAACACGGGCATGGTATATTATAAATCAATCTGAGACGTAAACACGGGCATGGTATATTATAAATCAATCTGAGACGTAAACACGGGCATGGTATATTATAAATCAATCTGAGACGTAAACACGGGCATGGTATATTATAAATCAATCTGAGACGTAAACACGGGCATGGTATATTATAAATCAATCTGAGACGTAAACACGGGCATGGTATATTATAAATCAATCTGAGACGTAAACACGGGCATGGTATATTATAAATCAATCTGAGACGTAAACACGGGCATGGTATATTATAAATCAATCTGAGACGTAAACACGGGCATGGTATATTATAAATCAATCTGAACCGTAAACACGGGCATGGTATATTATATATCAATCTGAGACGTAAACACGGGCATGGTATATTATATATGAAGCTGAGACGTAAACACGGGCATGGTATATCATAAATCAATATGAGACGTAAACACGGGCATGGTATATCATAAATCAATCTGAGTCGTAAACACGGGCATGGTATATTTTATATCAATCTGAGACGTAAACACGGGCGTGGTTTATTATAAATCAATCTGAGATGTAAACACGGGCATGGTATATATTATAAATCAATCTGAGACATAAACACGGGCATGGTATATTATAAATTAATCTGAGACGTAAACACGGGCATGGAATATCATAAATCAATCTGAGACGTAAACACGGGCATGGTATATTATATATTAATCTGAGACGTAAACACGGGCATAGTATATTATATATCAATCTGAGACGTAAACACGGGAATGGTATATTATAAATCAATCTGAGACGTAAACACAGGCATGGTTTATTATAAATTAATCTGAGACGTAAACACGGGCATGGAATATTATAAATCAATCTGAGACGTAAACACAGGCCTGGTATATTATAAATCTATCTGAGACGTAAACACGGGCATGGTATATTATAAAGCAATCTGAGACGTAAACACGGGCATGGTATATCATAAATCAATCTGAGACTTAAACACGGGCATGGTACGTAAACACGGGCATGGTATATTATAAATCAAACTGAGACGTAAACACGGGCATGGTATATTATATATCAATTTGTGACGTAAACACGGGCATGGTATATTATAAATCAATCTTAGACGTAAACACGGGCATGGTATATTATATATTATTCTGAGACGTAAACACGGGCATAGTATATTATAAAGCAATCTGAGACGTAAACACGGGCATGGTATATTATATATCTATCTGAGACGTAAACACAGGCATGGTATATTATAAATCAATCTGAGACGGAAACACAGGCATGGTATATTATAAAGCAATCTGAGACGTAAACACGGGCATAGTATATTATAAAGCAATCTGAGACGTAAACACGGGCATAGTATATTATAAAGCAATCTGAGACGTAAACACGGGCATGGTATATCATAAATCAATCTGAGACTTAAACACGGGCATGGTATATCATAAATTAATCTGAGACGTAAACACGGGCATGGTATATCATAAATCAATCTGAGACTTAAACACGGGCATGGTACGTAAACACGGGCATGGTATATTATAAATCAATATGAGACGTAAACACGGGCATGGTTTATTATAAATCAATCTGAGACGTAACACGGGCATGGTTTATTATAAATCAATCTGAGACGTAACACGGGCATGGTTTATTATAAATCAATCTGAGATGTAAACACGGGCATGGTATATTATAAATCAATCTTAGACGTAAACACGGGCATGGTATATTATATATTAATCTGAGACGTAAACACGGGTATGGTTTATTATAAATCAATCTGAGGTATATCATAAATTAATCTGAGACGTAAACACGGGCATAGTATATTATAAATCAATCTGAGACGTAAACACGGGTATGGTTTATTATAAATCAATCTGAGGTATATCATAAATTAATCTGAGACGTAAACACGGGCATGGTATATCATAAATCAATCTGAGACTTAAACACGGGCATGGTACGTAAACACGGGCATGGTATATTATAAATCAATATGAGACGTAAACACGGGCATGGTTTATTATAAATCAATCTGAGATGTAAACACGGGCATGGTATATTATAAATCTATCTGAGACGTAAACGCGGGCATGGTATATTATAAATCAATCTGAGATGTAAACACGGGCATGGTATATTATAAATCAATCTGAACCGTTTATAAATCAATCTGAGGTATATTATAAATCAATCTGAGACGTAAACACAGGCCTGGTATATTATAAATCTATCTGAGACGTAAACACGGGCATGGTATATTATATATCTATCTGAGACGTAAACACAGGCATGGTATATTATATATCAATTTGTGACGTAAACACGGGCATGGTATATTATAAATCAATCTGAGATGTAAACACGGGCATGGTATATTATAAATCAATCTGAACCGTAAACACGGGCATGGTATATTATATATCAATCTGAGACGTAAACACGGGCATGGTATAATATAAATTAATCTGAGACGTAAACACGGGCATGGAATATTATAAATCAATCTGAGACGTAAACACAGGCAGGGTATATTATAAATCTATCTGAGACGTAAACACGGGCATGGTATATTATATATTATTCTGAGACGTAAACACGGGCATAGTATATTATAAAGCAATCTGAGACGTAAACACGGGCATGGTATATCATAAATCAATCTGAGACTTAAACACGGGCATGGTATATCATAAATTAATCTGAGACGTAAACACTGGCATGGTATATCATAAATTAATCTGAGACGTAAACACGGGCATGGTATATCATAAATCAATCTGAGACTTAAACACGGGCATGGTACGTAAACACGGGCATGGTATATTATAAATCAAACTGAGACGTAAACACGGGCATGGTATATTATATATCAATCTGAGACGTAAACACGGGTATGGTATATTATAAATCAATCTGAGACGTAAACACGGGCATGGTATATCATAAATCAATCTGAGACTTAAACACAGGCATGGTATATTATAAATCAATCTGAGACGTAAACACGGGTATGGTATATTAGAAATCAATCTGAGACGTAAACACGGGCATGGTATATTAGAAATCAATCTGAGACGTAAAACACAGGCATGGTATATTATAAACATGAGAGAACATACAGATATTAACTAAAATGTATATAAGGGATGAAGGGGACACGCTATAATATACTCAAAATCAATGTTTTTTTACCACAGGGACATATATATCTGAAAGTTTCCTGTAATGGTTGAGTTGTCTTACCTGACATTGACCTTTGACACACACTTGGCGCCTATTGCCTTGGTTACAGCTAGTGCCGTCAACTACCTGTGACGTAAACTTGACGACCAAGCCGGCCACGCCTACGGCTGAACAGACGAGTGAACAGGGATGGAGAAGTGGCCTTGACCTTGGTGACAGTTGATCTACAATGTCAACACATACTATAGAGAAAATCTATCTGAACTCAACGTCAATACGGAACGACAAAAAGGGAACAATGGGAAACTAATAAATAAAGAAACACGCCACAAAAACAACCAAACGAGCCTAACTGCTCTTAGGGAAGGATAGGGGTTTTTTGCGATCAATATTCTTAAACTGTCAAAATCAGCATTGCAAAGTGTCGCTGTGTTCATGGCGAGGACATTCCGCGATAGTAGCACCTGTCTGCGTAGACTATCCTGTTTCTTCAGCATACTTGCCAACCTTTTGATATTTCCATGGGGGAGATTCCGCATGTTCAAATTTAAAAACATAAATAAATGCGTGTAGACTATATACCCCCTAGGGACACAATAGCCCTTTAAAATGACAAACTGTGAGTTGTTCTTTCAGGTGAAATCATTCGATCCTAGGAGTATAAACATAGGAGTAGTTCAGCAAATTCACTGATTGGAAATCTTAACATTAAGGGTCCGTATTCGGGAGTCTCCCTTCTTAATCGAGAGAGTTGGTAAGTATACTTTAGGGGCGGCGTGTGGTAAGTTACCAGCAAAGGCTTTAGCTCTGCATCAAGTACATTATACAGGATAGAATCTTCCCTATATTTCCTTTTAAATTAAAAGATTAATATCAGAATGTTTTAAATCTCCAATAAGGCCAAGGATATTGAGTTTGGACGACATTCCATCAGTATATTCCAAACCCATGAATTATTTTCAATTCTTGGCAATTTCTATTTCCATCCGATTTTTGCTTCATTGAAAAAAGAAGCATGGAAAATGAGCAACATTTCGAGAAAAATAGAAAAAAAGAAACAATATGAAACTCAGATACATTTTGATAAATAGATTATTTAAATCAATTTATGTCCAGGTGACTTGATCATCACAGAAATCAAACCTTGCAGGATATGCACAAGAACACTGATAGTGTCAGAGGAGTTATGTCCCTTGGAAGAAGAATTGCAATAAGGCATGATAACAAAATCATTTCATCCATTTACCTGTGATAAACGGTTTCCAGGAGTGCTTGCGATTGTTGTGGGACAGCCCATTGAAGAAAGCGCACTGGAGACGTCGAAAGTCCAGGGACCCTTCCGGACATTCCTGCGAACATGTGTAAGATGTTTCAATATGATATATTTTACAGTTCACTCATTCTTTATCGTCCCAATCAACCTCAAATCAATATTTACTCTCTTCTCACACCGTTTTTCAAATATATTTTTTCTCAGGGACCAGCAAGGGATTAATGTGAATGTGTCCCCAGTCACCGAGGTTCGCTCTATACATGTAACATTTACGTTCGCTCACTTTTCAAATTAATTATCTGTTTTGTAGTAATCCACGTTACATGTGACACCAACACTTACCTGGATATTACAGGTGTGGTAGTGCTCCGCGTCCCCGCGACACAGTTCACCGTCTACTGGAGTAGGATGTCGTCTGTAAACAAACACATTGTAATACAAAAAAACAGTTATTAGCAACATCGGTACGCCATACCAAAATGGATTGATTTTGAAGTCAATGTCAAGTAACCGAAGAACAAAATTCAACAATGCGAACCCCTACAAAAATGTAAGCGAAAGTAGGAAATCTGGGAGGTTACGCGTTTCTTGTGCCACTTGTGGCATACTTATAATGTCTCCCGTTCTATCCAGGGCCTCACTTCAATTACTAACTATCTTAGATACATGGAAGGTGTCATTATCATGGATCATTGTCATTCTAGAATGTTATTGAAAATCAGGTCAAAATGGCGACAGTGGTCACTCTAGTATAACATATCGACTACGTCGTTTATTATAACTCAAAAGATAGATTTTATTCAGAAAGTTATGTCAATAAAAATATTTCTGGAGTTGCGAATAAACTGTGACATTTGCTGTCAAGAAAGAGGTGATATATTTTGTTAATGTCTCATTGTTACCAATGAAAAAGGCATAAACACCGGTAGCCTAGAGTGAACCACTCCTGTCTGACATGTGTCTCAGTCTATCTAGCCCGGTAACCTAGAGTAAACCACTCCTGTCTGACATGTGTCTCAGTCTATCTAGCCCGGTAACCTAGAGTAAACCACTCCTGTCTGACATGTGTCTCAGTCTATCTAGCCCGGTAACCTAGAGTAAACCACTCCTGTCTGACATGTGTCTCAGTCTATCTAGCCCGGTAACCTAGAGTAAACCACTCCTGTCTGACATGTGTCTCAGTCTATCTAGCCCGGTAACCTAGAGTAAACCACTCCTGTCTGACATGTGTCTCAGTCTATCTAGCCCGGTAACCTAGAGTAAACCACTCCTGTCTGACATGTGTCTCAGTCTATCTAGCCCGGTAACCTAGAGTAAACCACTCCTGTCTGACATGTGTCTCAGTCTATCTAGCCCGGTAACCTAGAGTAAACCACTCCTGTCTGACATGTGTCTCAGTCTATCTAGCCCGGTAACCTAGAGTAAACCACTCCTGTCTGACATGTGTCTCAGTCTATCTAGCCCGGTAACCTAGAGTAAACCACTCCTGTCTGACATGTGTCTCAGTCTATCTAGCCCGGTAACCTAGAGTAAACCACTCCTGTCTGACATGTGTCTCAGTCTATCTAGCCCGGTAACCTAGAGTAAACCACTCCTGTCTGACATGTGTCTCAGTCTATCTAGCCCGGTAACCTAGAGTAAACCACTCCTGTCTGACATGTGTCTCAGTCTATCTAGCCCGGTAACCTAGAGTAAACCACTCCTGTCTGACATGTGTCTCAGTCTATCTAGCCCGGTAACCTAGAGTAAACCACTCCTGTCTGACATGTGTCTCAGTCTATCTAGCCCGGTAACCTAGAGTAAACCACTCCTGTCTGACATGTGTCTCAGTCTATCTAGCCCGGTAACCTAGAGTAAACCACTCCTGTCTGACATGTGTCTCAGTCTATCTAGCCCGGTAACCTAGAGTAAACCACTCCTGTCTGACATGTGTCTCAGTCTATCTAGCCCGGTAACCTAGAGTAAACCACTCCTGTCTGACATGTGTCTCAGTCTATCTAGCCCGGTAACCTAGAGTAAACCACTCCTGTCTGACATGTGTCTCAGTCTATCTAGCCCGGTAACCTAGAGTAAACCACTCCTGTCTGACATGTGTCTCAGTCTATCTAGCCCGGTAACCTAGAGTAAACCACTCCTGTCTGACATGTGTCTCAGTCTATCTAGCCCGGTAACCTAGAGTAAACCACTCCTGTCTGACATGTGTCTCAGTCTATCTAGCCCGGTAACCTAGAGTAAACCACTCCTGTCTGACATGTGTCTCAGTCTATCTAGCCCGGTAACCTAGAGTAAACCACTCCTGTCTGACATGTGTCTCAGTCTATCTAGCCCGGTAACCTAGAGTAAACCACTCCTGTCTGACATGTGTCTCAGTCTATCTAGCCCGGTAACCTAGAGTAAACCACTCCTGTCTGACACGTGTCTAAGTCTAATGGTAGGCGAGTATGAAGGTTTAAAACACTCAGTAGTTACTGTGAAGATTATCAGCAGATCCCAACATATTTAATACATCTTCTTTTTTATTTTATAAATTTGTCGCAGTTTCTTGGCTACTCCAGAAATATTTTGATCAACATAGTTTTCTGGGTAAATTCTTTCTCTTGATTTATAATAAACTACATGTAGTTATGAGATTACAAACACATGTCAGTCAGGAGTGGTTTACTCTAGGTTACCGAGTTAGATGTGAGGTACAGTTGGTCTTCATTGCCAATACAAAGTCTCTATCCTTTATGTATTTTTCTTTGGTAGCAATGAGATGTTTAACAAAATGTATCTCCTGTTTATTGACAGTAAGTTTGTGGATGTAGTAGTCTGTTTTAAACAGGAAAGCGGCGATGGTGGTTCTAACAGAAGCAATCAAACACATACAATCCACATCAAACTGAATTATCATTAGCACAGTGTAATAAAGGTCTGGTCTCTACTGCGGAATCTATAGTGGTTATGAGTGCGGATCCTGTTTTAAAACCTTTGTTTATAAAAGTAGATGCGTTATTGATGAATACCTCTCGAAAATATAAACTAAAGTTGTCAGTCCAATACAGAAGTTCTTGCGCCATGAGCATCAGCGATCCTTTCAGGTAGATATCCACAACAAATACATTATATAAAGTTATTATGATATAGATAGCGTATGCTGTTCAATGATATAATACAAAGAAGGAAATATATCAACCGCGCTTAATAATATGAAGGGTTTAAAAAAAATAAGCAAATGATTATGAAAAGTTCTTTTTACACAACCAATACAATTTTCTATGTGATGTTTCGATGACTAGTAAAGCGTATGCACACAAAGGTGTAAAATGTGTGCAAGTTGTCCACAAAATCGATGTCGATTTCGGCTACGCTGTAAGCGTATGTACAATAGTTGTTATATATGTACCGAAATGACTCGATTCAGCTACGCTTTGTTTAATACTTGGTCACAGGTGTGCGAGTCTTTGAGCCCCTCGTCTCGATTAAGAACTGGCCCACTGCGGCGTACCCAGATGGGTTCCTTTATCTGCCGCTTGAACATATTGCTCTCTCTGTCCAAAATGTTGAAATTATCCCAGTCAATCACATGATTTTTCTGTGTGGCATGGTCTGTGATTGCCGATTTATTTGTCTGGGACTCCGACTGCTTCCTTTCTGATCTGGTTAATTTCCTACCTTCTTGTGTTTCTGTATCTTCACCAAGGCGGACCCCAAATTGCCTTCCAGTCTCTCCAATATACGACGCGTCGCAGTTACTGTATCCGATTTTGTATACGCATTCTGCGACGTTTTCTTTAGGTGTTGTTCCCTTAGGGTGAACTAGGATATTGCGAAGCGTCTTGTGGGGCTTGATGACTGTTGCTATGCCATGACCGCGATACATCCTCTGGATGATTTCGGATATACCCTTTTAATACGGGATGACCACTCGACCTTTGGTTTTGTTCTTATCCTTGATTGGCCTTTTCTTGTTCTTCTCCTTACTTTGACATTGTTTCTGTATCCGTTTTGGGGCCCATTCCGGATATGCACATGCTCTCAATTCCCTAACGATGTGATTCTGCCCTTGTGTTTTGTCCTTTTGTTCTGTGGCTATTGTATCACATCTGTTGAGCAATGTGCGTATGACACCTAACTTCTGGTGCAAAGGATGGGGAGATTTGAAGTTCAGGTATTGGTCCGTATAGGTCTTTTTTCTATAGACCAATACCTTCACGGTTCCTTCTTCTTTCTTCACCAATAGAGAGTCTAGGAAGGGCATTGTGCAGTTGGTTTCTTCCTCACATGTAAATTTGATGTTGTTAGTGGCATCTATAGTGTTGATATGTGTGGTCAAATACTTCTGTGACCCTTTCTTGATTATCTCAAGTATGTCGTCAACATATCGTTTCCATAAGCTAGGCTTGCATTCCATGGGGGCAGTGGCTTGAACAAACTGGCCACAATGGGAGACACTGGACTAACCATAGCAATGCCGAAGCGTTGTTGATAGATTTTGTTTCGGAAACTAAAATATGTTGTTGTCAGCACAAATTCCAGCAAATCCATGATGTCCTGAATCTGGAGGTTTGTGTTTTTGCGCCAGGATCTATCTTTTTTAGCCAGGATCTGTCTAATTCCAAACGTTTCCGAATTGTTCTAAGTGCGTCGTCAATGGGTGTGTTGGTAAAGAGAGAGTCAACATCATGTGAAATGAATTCTTGGTCTTCCTGAATCATGATGGTAGACATAGCTTTCGCTATGTTTTGAATTCTTTAAATGGTGTTTCGATTTACCCACTAGCGGTCCAAGAATGTCTGCTAATGATCTGGAAACATTGAAACCAATGGATCCAGTGCAGTCCACAATAGGCCTCCCTGCTTGTGGCTCAAAGACTCTCGCACATCTATGACCAAGTATTAAACAAAGCGTGGCTGAATCGAGTCATTTCGGTACATATATAACAACTATTGTACATACGATTACAGCGTAGCCGAAATCGACATCGATTTTGTGGACAACTCGTACACATTTTACACCTTTGTGTGCATACGATACACTGGTCATTTGTCTGATGAAGGTGACAGTGTACATATCGTACTAGTCATCGAAACGTCACATAGAAAATTGTATTGGCTGTGTAAAAAGAACTAAGAAAATGTTTAGAAATCAGCAATTGATTATCAGTAAAAGTAGGATAATTGGGGGCCTAATTAACGGTTTTATTATCACGTATCACCTGTAAATGTTTCCCGTGATCAGCCACCTACCCGAATCTGTAGCAGGTCCTATAGCGGCGTTTAATTCCAATACCACAGGAACGAGAGCATGGCAAGAACTCACTCCAAGCGCTCCACCGGAAGTCAATGTCATACTGCTGTAATATAAACACGCCATGCCATGACAACAGACGCTATAGCAGAGTACTTAAATGATAAATGTGGCTTAGATATTAACGAACGTGAAGGCCATGTTGTTGCGATTCGAATCGTCATATCTGATAAAAATAGATAAACAAACCTCCACATAACAGACAAAAGTCCTGATAACAGACAATATTAAATGTCATGTCTGATAAACGAAAATCAGAAAAAACAGACAATATTAAATGTCATGTTTTATAAACAAAAGTCCTGATAGGAGACAATATCAAATGTCATGTTCTATAAACGAAAGTCCTGATAACAGACAATATTTAAACGCCATATATTACAAACGAAAGATCAGAGACAATATATATAATTGTCATTCCTTATATCCGAAGGTCAAGATCAAAGACCATATATATCATTGTCATTCCTTATATCCGAAAGTCAAGATCAAAGACCATATATATAATTGCCATTCCTTATTCCTAACGGCCTGTCAAAAGAGAATATATTTAAACGGCATGTCAAAAGAGAATATATTTAAACGGCATGTCAACAGAGAATAGATCTTAACGGCATGTCAACAGAGAATAGATCTTAATGGCATGTCAACAGAGAATAGATCTTAACGGCCTGTCAACAGAGAATAGATCTTATTTCCTTACAAACCATTTCATTCATCTTTGTCTTTGTCATGTCAACCTAAGGAGAAAACTTATATAGGCCTAGCCTGCTGTTCAATCCTATTGTTTACTCAATAAAATATGATGAAATGAATAGATCTTAACAACCTGTCACAGAGAATAGATCTTAACGGCCTGTCAACAGAGAATAGATCTTAACGGCATGTCAACAGAGAAAAGATCTTAACGGCATGTCAACAGAGAATAGATCTTAACGGCATTTCAACAGAGAATAGATCTTAACGGCCAGTCAACAGAGAAACGGTTGTAACGGCCTGTCAACAGAGAATAGATCTTAACAGCCTGTCAACAGAGAATAGATCTTAACGGCCTGTCAACAGAGAATAGATCTTAACAACCTGTCAACAGAGAAAAGGTTTTACCGGCCTCTCAACAGAGAATAGATCTTAACAACCTGTCAACAGAGAAAAGATCTTAACGGCCTGTCAACAGAGAAAAGATCTTAACGGCCTGTCAACAGAGAATAGATCTTAACAACCTGTCAACAGAGAAAAGGTTTTACCGGCCTCTCAACAGAGATGAGGTCTTAACAGCCTGTCAACAGAGACGAGGTCTTGACAGCCTGTCAACAGAGAATAGATCTTAACGGCATGTCAACGGAGAGATCCTCAGGGTCAAAAAAAGTTAGATAAAACACACAAAAGGAAATTACATCAAACAAACAGAATGATAAAAGACAAATGTCAACATGACGAGCGGAAGTGGTTATGATACGTTATATTTTTTAACAGGCGAACATTTTTAGGCAAGTTAGAATTGTTCCGATATTTACCGTTTCAAAGAGATAGTTCAGATTTGTTTAAATGTTGTCGTGTTGGCTGAAGGTCAATGCAGTCTAATAACAAGTGCTTTACTGTAAACTGTCCAAGACGCTATACAGATAAGAATGGGTAGTATATGAATGGCCCATCCTCGGCGGTGTTCTCTATAGGTGGGATGATAACATTAACAAATTTGGGGGATTTACGGAGTGTCATTTGTTGTCTAGGGATTGGTTACAATTATCTCGCCACTATGATATTACAAAATATGTCATTAACGGTTTAAAATCTGTAAAATGAACTGAAAGTCAAAGCCCATAGTTCTTTATTTTAAAACGACAATACAAAACAAGGCCAAAAAAATGCATGTTTTAGGTATCCTGGTTGCCGACCCTAGAAATTGTATCACCTACTTGTTTCTAAATTCATTTATGAGTCGGGCAAAGCTTACAGCCACTCATTAAAATGTACTGTCTTCCTATTCTGGGAGTCTGACCCTTTTACTTGACAAATTAATAGCCATTGTAATGTGTGGAAATGCTTTGTAAAGTTTGAAATTAAGCATAATATTGATCCACGAAGATAAAAAATTAACATAAAAATGAAATTATTTGTCTACAGACCTTCCCTATTTTTTTCAGGCATGTTACCTGAAACACACATATAGTAGTTTTTGCCTAAAAGCGAATGTAAGACTGCTACATTCAGACGTCAACTGTACTTGTATTGTGGCACTGCACTTGATTTTCTATAACGTTAAGGTAGAACACAGCACATAGATAGTCACCCTAGTTTTGTCTAGTAAAACCAAACACATATTGTACAAAGATGTCTTTAACTTTAATCATGTCGCCAAAGGACCTGCCAACTTTGTTATGTACTTCTAACAAACACCACATCCACCGTTGCTATTTGGAATTCATAATGACATGAACACTAGTTGTATACATTGCGTAAAGGAAAAATACACCAACAGACAAATAAAATAAATCCATCTGAAAGCCCTTTACATTATTGCCCTGTACAGGGAAAACATAAACGATATAGCTGTTACACAATCCCTGACTTACAATTACCCTATTATCACACTTCACCTCGTGCAGTTTTACCTTCGTCATCTAATTAAAATGGTGGTAATTCGATACTCTGCTTTCCCTGCTGGGTATAGAGGCGAAAATTGTAGTCTTGTTACTGTAATATATTCTTCTCATGGTTACGTTAAAGAAACAACTGTCACGTCCCATTAGTGGAACACCATGTTGTTGTAAACAGAGATACCCCGTCTGTGTCACGTTGTCTGGGTCATGAGGGACGTGCTACTGATGGACCGAAGGACCCCATCTGGTATGAGTGGTGTAGGACATAGCAAGAGTTCATTCTTTTTATTTTTTCGGCAATAGCGATTGGCGAAACATATGCGTAAAAGAATGAGTAAAGCAGAACAGAGGAGCACGAGCTGGGATGTGTATGCGATCATTTACGTTTGATTGTGTTTAACTTGCAGTCAGATTGCTTAACATGCGGTAAATTTGCAGCCTGGTTAATTTGTTTATGGTTAATTGGGTTGTAAATTGATTTGTTTACGTGGTAAATTTGCACGCATGGGTGATTCGTATATATATTTGATTTGCATTCATCTTTGCTTTGTGTATATACAAATCTGGCAACCTGTATCTTATATCTGACTCGCACTGTGTCCGACACCAAGTACGCGTCTATGTGATGATAGATGTTAGGATCACGTTATCACACATCGAGATGGACAAAATAAAGTATTGTATACTTGTGATTTTACCACAACTAGAAGTTCTACAAATCACTGTAGATGAGAACTATTGACCAAATGGTCGTTTACTACGTCAATATTAACCCAAACAAATAGCGCTGCACTAAGCCCTTACAAAGAACCATTGATGTGTGTTGTATATAACATGGATATAAACCATCTGAACGGTACAATACACTCATCAAGAGAATACCCAAGTGTCAGCCAGGCCATCATTAGAACCCAAAATCGATAAAACGTGGGCAAAATATGAACAGAGGATTAGACCATGTGTTCCGGAAGGGTAAGCGTCTTCTGCTTTATAGACGACATCCACCATGAACAGCTAGGCTAAATCCAAGTAATGTCACGTCCTCATATCGACAACAAGGGTAGTGACAACAAAACAACAAGGGTAGTGACAACAAAACAACAAGGGTAGTGACAACAAAACAACAAGGGTAGTGACAACAAAACAACAAGGGTAGTGACAACATCATGATCATGATGGCGACCACAAAATGTATCCATAGTCTTCCTCGACCTGCCACTGTAGGAACAAGGCACTGTAAGTTTGTCCGTCAGCAGTCTACATCGACCTGCCACTGTAGGAACAACGCACTATCAGTTTGTCCGTCAGCAGTCGACCTCGACCTGCCACTGTTGGAACAACGCACTGTAAGTTTGCCCGTCAGCAGCCGACCCCCCCCTGCCACTGTAGGAACAAGCCACTGTAAGTTTGTCCGTTAGCAGTCTTCCTGAACCTGCCACTGTAGGAACAAGGGACTGTAAGTGTGTCCGTCAGCAGTCGACATCGTCCTGCCACTGTAGGAACAACGCCCTGTAATTTTGTCCGTCAGCAGTCGCCATCGACCTGCCTCTGTAGGAACAACGCACTGTAATTTTGCCCGTCAGCATTCTCCCCCGCCCTGCCACTGTAGGAAAAAGGCACTGTAAGTTTGTCCGTTAGCAGTCTTCCTGAACCTGCCACTGTAGGAACAAGGCACTTTAAGTTTGTCCTTCAGCAGTCGACCTCGACCTGCCACTGTTGGAACAACGCACTGTAAGTTTGGCCGTCAGCAGTCGACATCGACCTGCCAGTGTAGGAACAACGCACTGTAATTTTGTCCGTCAGCAGTCGCCATCGACCTGCCTCTGTAGGAACAACGCACTGTAATTTTGCCCGTCAGCAGTCGACATCGACCGGCCACTGTAGGAACAATGCACTGTAAGTTTGTCAGTCAGCAGTCTTCATCGACCTGCCACTGTAGGAACAACGCCCTGTAATTTTGTCCGTCAGCAGTCGACCCCGACCTGCCACTGTAGGAACAAGGCTCTGTAAGTTTGTCCGTTAGCAGTCTTCCCCGACCTGCCACTGTAGGAACAAGGCTCTGTAAGTTTGTCCGTTAGCAGTCTTCCTGAACCTGCCACTGTAGGAACAAGGGACTGTAAGTGTGTCCGTCAGCAGTCGACATCTATCACCGAACTCGTGATATTTGGAGCAAGCCCTTCCTCGACCTGCCATTGTAGGAACAAGGCACTGTAAGTTTGCCCGTCAGCAGCCGACCCCCCCCTGCCACTGTAGGAACAAGGCACTTTAAGTTTGTCCGTTAGCAGTCTTCCTCGCCCTGCCATTGTAGGAACAACGCACTGTAAGTTTTTCCGTCAGCAGTCGACCTCGACCTGCCACTGTTGGAACAACGCACTGTAAGTTTGGCCGTCAGCAGTCGACATCGACCTGCCACCGTAGGAACAACGCACTGTAAGGTTGTCCGTCAGCAGTCGACATCGTCCTGCCACTGTAGGAACAACGCACTATCAGTTTGTCCGTCAGCAGTCGACATCTATCACGGAACTCGTGATATTTGGAGCAAGCCCTTGAATACCAAATCCCTACGGTCTGAAAGCTTACCAATATGGTTCGACTAAATTCAGCTACAACTTTTGAGCCCAAACTTAATCTGAAAATATAATTGATTATCTTGATTGTTCAGAACGTTTGACAATTTATGTCTTTTATAATTAGAAATTGTCACATTTTTGTTTCCTTCAGATAAGACTTAATGTTGTTTCGTCAACCACTTTTAGTTTTGCGATAGTTTCTATACTTTTGTTTAGATTATTTCGACATCAAGTATTAGTTTTTGGAAGATTTCCTCGGCTATGATTAAGGTTTGATATTATTTTAGTTTGGGATGATTTTGACACCCATGTACAGCTTTTAAATTATTTCGCCAGCTACTTTTTTAAGGATGATATGCTCAGCTATCTGAAGCTTTGATAATTTTGTCACTAGGGTTTAAGTTCTGGGGTGATTTCTTAAACTTGGTATTTTTCATCACCCTGTTTAATAGTCACTAGAAACACGTAGCAAGCAAGCACATGTTTAAAATGTCAGCAAGTCGTTGCAGAACACGAATCAAAATTAACATGTTGTATATGGCCAATACATTCATTGTTACCTATAAAAGCAGATAAGGAAGAAAAAATAACCTGCCATTTGCGATAAAAGCATCAAATTTGGTATATCTGCTATATGCTATTAAGTATATTAAGGGACCTCAGAGTCATACGGAACGGAGGGGACCACATGGTCATGCGGAACATAGGGGACAAAATGGTCATACGGAACAGAGGGGACCACAGGGTCATACGGAACGAAGAGGACCACAGGGTCATACGAAACGGAGAGGACCTCAGTGTCATAGGGAACGGAGAGGACCACAGGGTCATACGGCACGGAGAGGACCACGGGGTCACAGGCAACGGAGAGGACCACAGGGTCATAAGGAACGAAGAGAACCACCGGGTCATACGGAACGGAGAGGACCACAGGGTCATACGAAACGGATGGGACCACAGGGTCATACGGAACGGAGAGGACCACAGTGTCATACGGAACGGAGAGGACCACATGGTCATTCGGAACGGAGAGGACCACAGGGTCATACGGAACAGAGAGTACGGAACGAAGGGGACCACTGGGTCATACGGAACAGAGAGTACGAAACGGATGGGACCACAGGGTCATACAGAACAGAGGGTACCACATGGTCATACAGAACAGAGAGGACCACAGGAGCATACTTTACAGAGGGGACCACAGTGTTACGGAACAGAGGGGACCACAGTACACCAGGAGACAGAGAATACCATGGGGCTACATAGGGCAGAGGGGACCCCTGGGCCGAACGGGACGGAGAGGACCCATGGCCACACATGACGAAGGGGACCATAGGGCCGCGCGGGACAGATGTACCTCCAGCCCACAGTTGACCGAGATGACCACACGGGACAAACGTGCAGGACACTTTAGGGCGATAATGTACCTCAGGGACAGAGAGGACCATCGTGCGGCACACATAGGACGGAGAGTGCAGGGTACCTCGGGGTGTTAATAGACCAAAGGGTTGTACGAAACAGGCAGGACCACCTAGCCACACAAAATAAAGTGTATAGTTTACACAGTGTATGCATCGTCACGTCTGTAAGGTGTTAGTTACGCTAGTCCGTGTCACGACCTTCCAGTGTGGGTTGTATCAGGACCATACAATTAGTTGGTACGAGTTGGGATTGGGAGAAAGGCGATGGGAGGGGACTGTCGAAAAGGAGAAGGAGGGAGTAGAATGGATAGAATGGAAGGGGAAGGGCAGGAAGGGGTGCAAGATAGGGAACGGGAATTGAGGATGGAAGGCATAAACAAGCACTGGGTTAACTAGCTAGGGAGCAAATGATCAACCAAATCTTAAATTAAAAAACAAAAATGATTAAATTCTGAAATTTAAACGTGGTATCCCCTTTCATATTGTCATGTTATAAATAGTTTCACGAAGAATCAAATATTACCGAAAATCTAGTTTAAATTGTTACTGATGTTATAACTATTTAACAAGCAACTAAACCGCCAGTCTACAATAGTACCTTACTCTCAGTGTAATTACAGTGAAGTTCATATAGCATGTCTAGTATTTCCCATTTAGAAGGTTGCTAGTAATGAGAGACTAGGATTAAACATACAAGAAAATCACGTTTCCATAAAGTTAAAAAAAACACCAATGTCTGCTTACCGTTTCCCTTTCGCTTGGTCTCATCGAAGTCCATATTTCACGCGGAAATATTAGGAGGCTATATATCAATGAAACGTAAAACTCCTTTAAGCAAACCATGTGAATTCAAGTATCAGAGACTGATGCTGGGAAAATAAAGTTATATAAGTCAGGTTACAACAAGAACACGAAAGACAACCGTGTCTCGATAAGAAAACATCAGAAAACGAATTCAGTATCAATGAACAAGTTTATAACGATAAATATACATGTAATTCAGGTTATCTGGTGAAACACATCACTGAGTGCCGACACTGCCTCCTCATACACGGATCGCGAAACGACACCTGATACAGTCGGTATTAGGTTCCTGATGTCTATCAAACGTGTTTCTCCACTTTCTATATGAACTTTCCAGTGTATTGTATGTGTTTATTCAGGTGCTCCACGAGTTGTAGATATGTATCCCCTTACGTTCTTACTGGTAGGTTCTCACAAGCCTTCTGTAAAACAGGTCTGGCCAAAACTGAAAATAAAATATGTATCTCCTTAAAGGGACACATTCCCGGTCCATATATACCCATCCAATATATATATATATATATCTTTACAGGTAAACAGGCTGTTCCTGATAATATATTGGAGAAAATAAGGTGATTTAACTGATTCATCCCTAAACTCACGTTGGAACCTTGCCAGATCAAAGACTGGGCAAGTCCAGTTTAAATATGTAGGGGTGAACGGGTAAACAACCTCTGCAGGAAGTGTCACCTTCAAAGACGACAACCTAGGTAGAAAGCACGTGGTCGCGGTCGTGAGGAACCATGTGGCTAGATAATTATAGTTAGTAATTATCTCCACCGTTATATGTTATGATTGATAAAAACAAAGAGAGCGGAGGCTCACATAGACGCATAGCTTTGCCCATGAACTTATGACCTTCACCTTGACTGATGACTACCAAAACCTAATTAGGTGTAGAAACCAATATCACAACAGTATAGTGTAAATGTAAACTTGTTGAGGTTTCGAGAGATATTCTAGTTTGTTCAAAAGTGGTCAAGTGTGATATTTGACCAATGCCCACCGAAATCTAATCTGGCGCAGAGGCCAATGTCACCATAATATGGTGTAAATATCATATACATTTGTTGAGAGTATCCCGAGATATTTTTATGGTTGTTTTTAAATTCAAAAGTGACAAACTGTGATCTTTGACCCTTTTGCCCCGACAGATGACCAACAAAATCTATTCAGGTTCAGAACTCAATACAGTATTACCATACTACGAAATACACACGAACTTTAATGTGTTCGGGGATTTATGATTATGAGATACCTTGTATACAAGCTGTTAACTACGAGTAGGATGGCTCTCGGAAATAAAGAATCTGAAACCGAAACTATGGACGAACACACTGGCAAACGATTCCTACATGCCCTCTCTTGGTGGGAGTGTAAACATGCAGAGAACAGAAAATATGTTTAAAGCTCGGAGTGTGGACTGTTTATTTCTTTGGATTGTACATGTGATTAACATGAAATGAATTCGTGTCTGCGGTTCGAAGCAATGTACAATGTAAAGTTTTGGATGTGTACCCTCCTCTGGTTTGGTCATGTTGGGTCTGTACCCTCCTCTGGTTTGGTCTTGTTAGGTATGGACCCTCCTCTGGTTTGGTCTTGTTGGGTCTGTACCCTCCTCTCTCTGGTTTGATCATGTTGGGTCTGTACCCCTCCTCTGGTTTGGTCTTGTTAGGTCTGTACCCCTCCTCTGGTTTGGTCTTGTTAGGTATGAACCCTCCTCTGGTTTGATCATGTTGGGTCTGTGACCCTCCTCTGGTTTGGTCTTGTTAGGTCTGTACCCTCCTCTGGTTTGATCATGTTGGGTCTGTACCCCTCCTCTGGTTTGGTCTTGTTGGGTCTGTGACCCTCCTCTGGTTTGGTCTTGTTAGGTCTGTACCCCTTCTCTGGTTTGATCATGTTGGTATGTACCTCTCCTCTAGTTTGGTCTTGTTGGGTCGGTACCCCTCCTCTGGTTTGGTCTTGTTGGGTAGGTACCCTCCTCTGGTTTGATCATGTTAGGTCTGTGACCCTCCTCTGGTTTGGTCTTGTTGGGTCTGTACCCTCCTCTAGTTTGGTCTCATTGGGTCTGTGCCCTCCTCTGTTTGATCATGTTGGGTATGTACCCCTCCTCTGGTTTGGTCCTGTTGGGTATGTACCCCTCCTCTGGTTTGGTCCTGTTGGGTCTGTACCCCTCCTCTGGTTTGGTCTTGTTGGGTATGTACCCTCCTCTTATTTGGTCTTGTTGGGTCTGTACCCTCCTCTGGTTTGATCATGTTGGGTCTGTGACCCTCCTCAAAGGACAAAGCACAATATTAGACTCAGGAGATATTTTGAAACAGCTTATCTTCATATATTGTGTGATTTATCCTAGATAAATTTGGTACGGAGAATTTCCAACAAAAAATGTGTGGCAGATTTTTAATTGTGCATAGGATTAGTTGCCTTCGTAGTTCTGTGCTAGAGTGATTTTTCCTTAGCTCGATTGGCAGAGTTGCGGACTGGGAAGCTACTTGTAGGGGTCATAGGTTGGAGGCACACTACTATCTTTCCTGTTACAAATGGTGTCCATGGCCCACCCTGTGGTGACATGGAGTTATATCCATATACAATCTGGGTTGTCGTAGTGTTTGAGAGTGAAAATATTTAAAAAACAGTTCCAACCAAAGTTTGTATGAATATGAGCATGGTCTTAGCAGGCATTCTTATTTTCCCGAGTTGATTTGAAGTTCTAATTTGTAATCCTATCTTCTGATTGGCATCATCAATTTATTCTCTACTTCCACTCTGTCAATATTAATCAAAAATGAAAAACTGACCGGATGGCCACCACAATTTTGAATTGCTGTACACATTTCAACTTCTTGTCTAGTTCTAATGAGAAATAACAAGAGGCCCATGGGCGTTAACGGTCACCTGAGTTCAGTATTTATTTTTGTTGTTAAAACTATAAAGTGGAGATAATGATGTTAATCATACCTACCAATTTGAGTAAAAAGGATTTAAGTATAACGTTAAGTTAAGTTTGTCAGGACCATGAGCTGATCATTCCTTGACAAATGTTTCAGTTAAATCAGCCCAGTTGACCTTGATTTTAAGTTTGAAATAGTTTTTCAAAATGGCGGCCTGGGTGGCCATATTGGATTTATGATCGACCTGAAAAATAACAACACTTTGTCAGGACCATGAGTCGATCATTCATACTAAGTTTCAGTTGAATCGGCCAAGTAGAACTTGACTTTAAGTTTGAAATAGTTTTTCAAAATGGCGGCAGGGGTGGCCATATTGGATATATGATCGACCCGAAAAATAACAACACTTTGTCAGGACCATGAGTCGATCATTCATACTAAGTTTCAGTTGAATCGGCCCAGTAGAACTTGATTTTAAGTTTGAAATAGTTTTTCAAAATGGCGGCCATATCGGATTTCCAATGACCCAAAAAATAACAACACTTCAGGGAGTAACATCCCCATGAAGTATCAATGAAATCCCTTTGACAGAATTTCAGCTTAAGTTGACAAGAGGCCCAATGGGCCCGAATCCCTCACCTGGTATTAATTTCACACTTGTAATCTTAACAGTGGACTAATATACAGTTACGGGCAAAATATTAGTGTTCAATTCATAAGAACCTATTAATAGATTTAAACATATGATGCCTGTGGCCTTGAAAGACAAACAAGGACATTATGTTGAACAGAGTTTATAGTCTTCCGTCCAAGCATGCTTCTGACCAAATATCATTACCCTGGATCTTTTTTGTTATTCAGAACAAGTCATTTAAAATTATAACATATTTGATCCCTGTGACCTTGAATATAAGCGAAGGTAAATCATTTGAACAAACTTAGTTGCCCTTTATCCCAGCATGCTACTGGCCAAATATCATCATCCTAGGCCTTTTGGTAATTCAGAATAAGTTGTTTAAAGGTTTTAAAAATATTTGACCCCTGTGACCATGAATATATGTCAAGGTCATTTGTTCGAACAAACTTGGTAGCCCTTTATCCCAGCATGTTACTGGTCAAAAATCATTATCCTAGGCCTCTTTGGTATTCAGAAGACCTTGAAAATGGATGAAGGTCATTCATTTGAACAAACTTGGTAGCCCTTCATTCTACCGCATTCTACTGGCCAAATATCATCATCGTAGGCCTTTTGGTTACTGAAAAGAGGTTGTTTAAAGTAAAAGGTTGATGCCAGACAAACAGACGAACGACGAACGGACAACGGATGATGGATGGACAGTGGACGACGGACGCCGCACCATGGTATAAGCTCACTTGCCTTTTGGGCAGGTGAGCTAAAAATGTTAAATGTTAACATATTTCACCCCAGTGACCTTGAATATGAATCAAGGTCATTCATTTGAACAAACTTGGTAGCACTTCATTCCAGCATGTTATTGGCCTAATATCATTATCCCATGTCTTTTTGTTATTCAGAAGAAGTTTTTTAAATGTTGTATACATATTTGATCCCCCTGACCTTGAATATAAATCAAGGTAATTTATTTAAACAAACTTGGTGGCCCTTCATCCCAGCATGTAACTAGCCAACTATCAATATCCTAGGCCTCTCAGTTATTCAGAAGAAGTTGTGTAAATGTTTTAAACTTATTTGACCCCTGTGACCGTGAATATAAGTCAAGGTAATTCATTTGAACAAACTTGGTAGCCTTTTACCCCAGCATGTTACTGGCCAAATATCATCACCCTAGGCCTTTTGGTTACTGAGAAGAAGTTGTTTAAAGTAAAAAGTTGACGCCTGTCACCAGACGGAAGCCGCACCATAAAGGGCCAGGTGAGCTAAAAACAGATGATCCATACAGGCTGTGTCGGTCTTTTGCTCAATGTTTACTTCAGAAGCCATTCATGTTACCTGACAAAGTGATTGGTTGGTTGGTTGACAGGTTTATCGCCTACATGACTCCACCCATGCGGGTTTCGTCTCACTGATGGAGGTCGGTGTTCTGTCGGCATCGACAAAGTGATGTTACATCATGTAACGTTAATAAGGATGACAACACTCCATGCAATCTCATTGTAGTTTAATTTCTCAGTTTACCATATATTACTTGTCATACATAGATAACATGAATTATAATATACCATTTCTTGTTAAAAAACATGATGATTACTCATTGACAAAGCTACACATGTGTAAATATAGTGTACTCCACCCTGCTGTGAAATCTGATGTTAGTAGGATCTAGCTGGGTCTTTTACATCAACAGTCACCTCATCCAATTCTCATCAAACCTTTACTTCCAATCTCTGGTTTTGTTTCTTTTTCATACAAAGCGGATTAATATCAATTATAATTTGGTGCACATTAGTGATTCAATCCTCATACTACTTAACAAGTTTCTGATCCTCATACACCTTAAACAAGTTTCTGATCCTCATACTCCTTAAACAAGTTTCAGATCCTCATACTCCTTAAATAAGTTACTGATCTCATACTCTTTAACAAGTTTCTGACCCTCATACTCCTTAAATAAGTTTCTGATCCTCATCCTCCTTAAACAAGTTCCTGATCCTCATACTCCCTAAACAAGTTTCTGATTCTCATACTCCTTAAACGAGTTTCTGATCCTCATACACCTTAAACCAGTTTCTGATCCTCATACACCTTAAGTAAGTTTCTGGTCTCATACTCCTTAAATAAGTTTCTGATCCTCATACACCTTAAACAAGATTCTGATCCTCATACACCTTAAACAAGATTCTGATCCTCATACACCTTAAACAAGATTCTGATCCTCATACACCTTAAACAAGATTCTGATCCTCATACACCTGATCAAGTTTCTGATCCTCATAGTCCTTAAACAAGTTTTCTGATCCTCATACACCTTAAACCAGTTTCTGATCCTCATACACCTTAAACAAGATTCTGATCCTCATACCCCTTAAACAAGTTTCAGATCCTCATACTCATCAAACAAGTTAACAAGTTTCTTATCCTCATACTCATTAAATAAGTTTATGATACTCATACTCCTTAAATAAGTTTCTGATCCTCATACACCTTAAACAAGATTCTGATCCTCATACTCCCTAAACAAGTTTCTGATTCTCATACCCTTAAACAAGTTTTCTGATCCTCATACTCCTTAAATAAGTTTCTGATCTCATACTCCTTAAACAAGTTTCTGATCTCATACTCCTTAAACAAGTTTCTGATCTCATACTCCTTAAACAAGTTTCTGATCCTCATACTCCTTAAATAAGTTTCTGATCTCATACTCCTTAAATAATTTCTGATCTCATACTCCTTAAACAAGTTTCTGATCCTCATACTCCTGAACCAGTTTCACCCAACAGTGAATTTGGTCGTCGGAGTTTGATGTCGGTTTTAATGTTCACACTGATAAACTGACATTTGTTTTCAGGAGATCATTGAACCTCACCACTCGTGTGAATTAAACATACAAGTGGAGTTTTCCTGTCTCAGCATATTATGTTAATTAAGCGTGGTTTGAAAGACAACAGATGCAATGACTGCTTCATCATTGTGGCAGGATACGTGAATTGCCTAAGTAGGTCACATAAACACTTTTCTTCTATAAATTAAAAGAAAGCGGCATTTTATATTTTTATATTTTTATATTTTTGTATGGCTACACAACATATTCAACTTGATACCTACAAAACCAAACATTCAGCAGCAACATAATAATTAAAAAAAAAATAAAAAAATCTGTAAATGATTATGTAGCAATATATTTGACTTAATGATGAAAACGGTTTAATTGATTCTTTATTAGGTATATATGTAATTAAAATTAACAATTCCAATATTTCTTTGTTTAGACTCCACAACAATAAAACAGAAAATTCTACCAGCACTAGTAACAGAGACTAGCTAACAGTCTCAATGGTGGATAATTATAATATGTCCCTGTTCTAGCCAGTCTACTTGTATTGATACGGTTCCACATGAACAGGGTTTCTGAGTACTGGTCTGTATACCAGGGTGGGATAGTACTGTAGATGTAGTAGATATTTTATACAGTCATTGCATAAATCTGTCATCACTAAACTTCTTCACCACATTCTACAGATCTGTTGAATAATACGCTGTTTAGACGAACACATTGTATAGAGCTTATACATTGTAGCTATAATACAACACATTGTATAGAGCTTATACATTGTAGATATAATACAACACACTGTATAGAGATGATACATTGTAGATATAATACAACACATTGTATAGAGCCGATACATTGTAGATATAATACAACACATTGTATAGAGCTTATACATTATCAATGATACATTGAAAACATGTTATACCTTGTATTTGTATGCATATGATAGTGTGATCAAATTGTGATCAAAGTGTGATCAAAGCCCTATCAAAAGACAGAGTCATGTGAACAATCCTTAGTCCCCCATCTTCGGGCTAAAGTAGGCATCAAAAACAGGCCATAACTCTGTATAGTGGGGAACAAAACTTTATCTTAGTAAGTGAAGCTCCACCAATCCAAGAGGTATTTACATACAGGTTTTGCAATGGTAGGTGACTGAGTTTATCATATATGTATGCCCCAGACAAAAAGATGTACTGTGAACTAACAGCCATAACTTTGTAAAACTGGGAGGCACAAGACCCGGGTTTAACATGTGATGCATAATTTGGCAATTGTAGTTGAAAGAGTATACAAGATATTCTGGGAACAAATTGACAGACTGACTGACATACAGAGTGTAAATATATTGTGCCGTCTGGTAGTATCAGTGGGGGACTAATCAGATGTCCTGTCTGTGGTAGTACCTGTGGGGGACCAATAAGATGTCCCGTCTGGTGTAGTACCTGTGGGGGACCAATAAGATGTCCTGTCTGTGGTAGTACCTGTGGAGGACTAATCAGATGTCCCGTCTGTGGTAGTACCTGTGGGGGACCAATAAGATGTCCTGTCTGTGGTAGTACCTATGGGGGACCAATAAGATGTCCCGTCTGGTGTAGTTCCTGTGGGGGACCAATAAGATGTCCCGGCTGTGGTAGTACCTGTTGGGGACCAATCAGATGTCCTGCCTGTGGTAGTACCTGTGGGGGTCCAATAAGATGTCCTGTCTGTGGTAGTACCTGTTGGGGACTAATCAGATGTCCCGTCTGTGGTATTACCTGTGGGGGACCAATAAGATGTCCCGGCTGTGGTAGTACCTGTTGGGGACCAATCAGATGTCCTGCCTGTGGTAGTACCTGTGGGGGACTAATAAGATGTCCTGTCTGTGGTAGTACCTGCGGAGGACTAATCAGATGTCCCGTCTGTGGAAGTACCTGTTGGGGACCAATAAGATGTCCCGTTTGTGGTAGTACCTGTGGGGGACCAATAAGTTGTCCCGTCTGTGGTAGTACCTGTTGGGGCCCAATAAGATGTCCTGCCTGTGGTAGTCCCTGTGGGGGACCAATAAGATGTCCCGCCTGTGGTAGTACCTGTTGGGGACCAATCAGATGTCCTGCCTGTGGTAGTACCTGTGGGGGATTAATAAGATGTCCTGTCTGTGGTAGTACCTGTGGGGGACCAATAAGAGGTCCTGTCTGTGGTAGTACCTGTGGGGGACCAATAAGTTGTCCCGTCTGTGGTAGTACCTGTTGGGGCCCAATAAGATGTCCTGCCTGTGGTAGTGCCTGTTGGGGGCCAATAAGATGTCCCGTCTGTGGTAGTTCCTGTTGGGGACCAATAAGATGTCCCGTTTGTGGTAGTACCTGTGGGGGACCAATAAGAGGTCCTGTCTGTGGTAGTACCTGTGGGGGACAAATAAGATGTCCCGTCTGGTGTAGTACCTGTCGGGGGCCAATAAGATGTCCTGTCTGTGGTAGTCCCTGTGGGGGACCAATAAGATGTCCCGTCTGGGGTAGTACCTGTGGGGGACCAATAAGAGGTCCTGTCTGTGGTAGTACCTGTGGGGGACTAATAAGATGTCCTGTCTGTGGTAGTACATGTGGGGCACCAATAAGATGTCCTGTCTGTGGTAGGACCTGTGGGGGACCAAGAAGATGTCCCGTCTGTGGTAGTACCTGTTGCGGACCAATAAGATGTCCCGTCTGTGGTAGTATCTGTTGGGGACCAATAAGATGTCCCGTCTGCGGTAGTACCTGTGGGGGACCAATAAGAGGTCCTGTCTGTGGTAGTACCTGTGGGGCACCAATAAGATGTCCTGTCTGTGGTAGTACCTATGGGGGACCAATAAGATGTCCTGTCTGATGTAGTACCTGTGGAGGACTAATCAGATGTCCTGTCTGTGGTAGTACCTGTTGGGGACCACTAAGATGTCCTGCCTGTGGTAGTACCTGTGGGGGTCCAATAAGATGTCCTGCCTGTGGTAGTACCTGTGGGGGACCAATAAGATGTCCTGTCTGTGATAGTACCTTTTGGGCACTAATCAGATGTAACAAGGACACAAGTTAGCCTGCTCTGTAGTTTAAAGCAATATGTCATTGTAATTGCAGATAGTCATTTTAAGCTCAATGAAACTATGCAATACAATGTGCAATGCCATGTTATAATAGACCAATTTGTTACACAATAATACAATGTAACAGCAACCAATACCTACAGTGAACTCAGGGTCAAGATATTTTTATTTTCATTTACTCATTCCTTTAAGCATTAAATACTGGTCCTTTCACTTTTCTTTCGTCACAAACAGTTACACGTGTACTAATAATCTCATTTTCAGCTAAATTGATGGTTTTGGAGAGGTTCATTGTAAACAGGTTTACTGTGTGCAATGACATCATATACTTAAGCAAAGTACACAGAGATTGTGATGTTGTACGTACTATTATGCAATGTAAACTGGTATCCAAAATAATGACACATCATGACATTTTAATACATGTTATATCAGTGTCATACATACTGTATATATTACACAAGAAATTGTGCTGTCGTAATGGACATCAGCGTTACTTAATGTAACTTCTATGTTCCTATGCCAATAACCACTACATATTGTAGTATATCCTCAACAAGGTTTGTTTTCAATACAGCTTAAATTATCATTGTCCTGCAAAAGGTATTCATTGTTTATCAAGTCAAAATTAGAAAAATGTAATACAGTGTAATACAGGATACAAAATGTATGGAAGTGCTTATTGATAAAACTTAATTCAATTGAAAATCAAAATGTAAAAAGTCATAATTTCTATTGCTTCTTTATTATATACTTTAAAAGTTCATTTGAGATACTATAACAATGTATTGTCTATACCAATTTAATCAATTTATTGTGAATTTTCAGCCAAATGATATCAACCTGATTCTATTATTTAGATCAATTAATATCACAAAACTTCATGCCATTTCATAGTGTTCAGGTCATTTTAAAAATCCACCAAATCTGAACAGGTTTACCATGTTGTCAGCGGTTGAATGTATTTATGAAACATTTCGTATAAACCTACTTGATAATTACATTTCTTGATTTAACAACGAATATGCCTTTTATATATCTTTATCAGTATATTGATGCAACTAGTTTTTATCATGATGATTTTATTGATACATACATGTACATGACTTTTAAATAATGGAAATAGAACTATTCAAAAAAAGACAGAAAGTGTGGAAATAAATAACTATTCCTCCCCCATCCGACAGAGATATCCACACGGTCAGGGAAACATTTGTCTGTGTTACCCTAGGGTAAATACAAGGGTATTTCATAGCTATAGTGATTGTAAGATTATGGGCGGATTGGTCAACTGGTTAACACTCCAGCCTTCCAAGCAGGCGGCCAGGGTTCGGCTGGGGTTCGATCCCTGAAGTCGCCGTACGCATGGAATAGTCAGAGAAAATGTTTTTCTCCTGCCCACACTCCAACAACCCAGGTGGAGTATAAAATGGTCTGGGGTGGGTGTTGCGGTATTTGTGCTGTAGCATTCAAGTGAGGTGGCACTATAAATGGTACCGTTGGAAGCACGGTCCCAATACAAACAGAACACAATACATCTCCAGCACACACACAGGCATACACACATAGGGAGATATTAGCCAGGTGGCATAGGACTAGTAGTTAGCGCCTGATAAGGCAGCTCCTGCGAATTCCTCAATATTGTATTAATTAATATATATATATATATATGCTTATTGTATTGACTATATAAAATTGTTTATCTATGTACTGTAAAGCGCTTTAGAATGGCTTATGTTAGCTAGATAGAGAACTATATCAAATGGTGTATATTTATTTATTTAAGATATCACATCAACATTGCATTGACATTAGTCAATAACAGCAGGTTACAGAAGATAACTCAATGGGTTTGCTGAAAACTATGCAATCAATGCATCAGCTTTTGGTTTTTTTCTAATAAAAAGTGATTTTGAGGAAAAACAGGGAGAAAAAGGCTCAATCTCTATCTTGAAGGTAGGAGACATCTCTACCCTCAGAGAAGATTTTTGACTGTCTATACTTCGGGTTTAAGTAGCCTGGGGTTAAACGGTCTTGAATTTCTTCTTGGGGGGGAAATTTCATTGTCCTACTCTCAAGATAGGGAAAGATCCTTCAAGTCCTCTATCAAACAAGAGTAGAACGTGGCAATGGAAACTTAAGTCCTCTATCAGACGGGGGTAACAAATGTCATATCAAATGACCACAGTAAAATTAGAATCCTACTCTAGTATAATTCTGGCAGTAACTAACACATATACCAATGGTAGTTAAGCCAGATCCATTAGTTTATCACACTGATAATGTGATGTGTTGCTTCTCTATATGTCTAGCATATAAAGGACCAAATTATGTTTGAATGTGTAAGCAAAGATATATAAATACAATGCTCAAACACATACCTAATTATATAAATATCTATATATAGCACATCTGTGATATGTTATCACTGTTTAGCTCTGTAAACAAAGGGATCTCCATGAACGTCCATGTGTTTGCTGGTTAGTTGAGGTTTATGTACAAGGTATTCAATGACAGGTGATTCTAAACATTGGCTTCACCCTAGAGTATTAAGAGGAGCTTATAAGTTTCCTCTTGTTTATCATGATATTTCAGCAATTAGACAGAATACCAATACTTAACACCAGTGAAAATATTGAAGTATTCTGCCGAATGAATTTGTCTCTTGCTTTCTTTAAATTAGAAATATAACGATCATAATGGTTAAGTTAATGAAGTAACTGATGTATTGTACACAGTAGTACATGTATACAATAACTGAACAGATGTAACACATTTCCATAGATGGAATACCAGGTACAGTGATGGGTAAGACAAAATGGGTGGGCTGGAGTGGTGATAATGTAATATCTACAGCAATATGTATGTTAGAATATTAGTTCACTCATGTATATATGTAATCAATGCTCAATAGATCTTTATATAATAAAGACAGTTTGTATTTATTATTGCTATCAGTCCTGGACACATCGCCTGCCTATTATCACACGTTCCATGTACTTGAAGTACCGTGTAACACCTTCCTTATGCATGGTGACAAATTCCATGTTAAGGTACTCTGTGTACTAGGTTGCAGTGCTTTGTGTTTCATGCCTCATATAGTCTGTACACCAACGCTCTGTACAGTGACACTGTACACCGCCACCCTGTCTGTACACCAACGCTCTGTACAGTGACACTTTACACCGCCACTCTGTACACTGACACAAATACTGTGTGCTATGTCACATATTGTTTGTACTCTGACCATACGACACTGTGCATTATGTATCACAAACTATACGGATGATGTATACTTCACATGTCGTAAGTGAGAAAAGTCTGCATATGTACACTATTGACATCAAACATGAGTTTACATAGCTTTGAGCCATGATAACCTCCCACTGGAGCCGTCCTCCAGACCTTGTCCACAGTGACAGATATAAAGGTGGTTATCTAAGATGAATATGATAAATTATGGAATATTAATCCAATATTCACATGATACATAAGCAGATGACCCATTACATGGGTGATTTATATATCCCCACTGATTGTCTCCCCTGAACAACAGCGTCTTCGATCCAACACCAGGGGGTGCTAAGTTTCTTGTGACCTTTGGAGGTCAAATTGCCTTATCATTCGTCCTCCTCCTCTCTGACGTATGCCAATGGGAAGTATCCAACCTAGAATGATAGAGAAAGAAATATGTAAGAGCTAGTTATAACGCAGAGTCAATGATTTATAATGAATGTACAGTATAAAGCAGTTTTCTTTACATATTACTATTACTGTTTGAGGAGCAGTACTTTCTATTACAAGTTCCTTTGTGTGGATAGAAATTATCTCCCTTGTCACCTATTTATGAGGAGCAATAATCTTCGTTGTTTAAGAGCAGTGATCTCCCTTGCAATTTATCTTTGTGGGGGAAAAAGGATGATCAAACACTGAAATAATGGAGACATCTGATTGTTTGAAATAATTATTGGGAATCCATATGATTATTTTTTCAAAGGATGGTTTTCTTTTTTAAATGATTGACTCATCTAAAATGTGTGAATTGAAAAATGTGATTGAGAAGTACCATCAGATTACATCTGATTAATTTCGTGATCTTTCAAGTTGTCTGTTCATTCAATGTGGCAATGACCTAAGTTGTTAATTAAGGTAGATGGCTGCCTTTGCCAATATACTGTGGTTAAATACTGATCAATGACAGGGTGTTATCTAAGTTGACAAGCTGTCCTTTGGGTGGAGATGTATTTTCCTTGTCATTTAATTCGCTTGAGGAAAACTGTAGTCACTTTGCGTGGCCAAAAGTATTTTCCTTGTCACATTGAGTGGGGAGAGTTCCTTGATTTGTGTGGGGAGTTTTTTTGTCCGTTTGTGTGGACAGATAGGTTCTTCTTGTCACTTTGTTTGGATGGAAGTCCTCATGATCCTCTATATCACTTTGTTTGGATGGAAGTCCTCATGATCCTCCATATCACTTTGTTTTGATGGAAATTCTCATGATCCTCCATATCACTTTGTTTGGATGGAAGGCCTCATGTCCTCCATATCACTTTGTTTGGATGGAAGTCCTCATGATCCTCCATATCACTTTCGTGGTGAGAGGAAAGGGTTTCCCTTGTCACTTAATTTGTGTGGGAAGAAGTTTTTTTCTTTTCACTGATTTTTGCGAGGAGAAATGTTCTCCCAGATAATTTGTGAGGGAAGAATACTTCCCTGTGTTACTTACTTTATGTGAACCACAGTGCTCTCCCTTCCACCAGCCCTTGTCACTTCCTGTTTTGCTGAAGATGGCCACTCTGTCGCCCCGACTCAGAGACAGTTGTGTCGTAGCTGTGGCTGCGTAATCATACACAGCCACCGCGTAACCAAGACAACGTGGACCTATCATGCAACAAACACACGATTAAAAGTAGCAAAAATGTCACCTGCAGTGAAATCTATCTATTCAAATCTGATAGCTTACATCCTTCTGGAAGATTGAATGAATTTAAATGTATCATTAGTATCTCAATAATATCAATTTAAAAGTGGAAAACACTTAGTAAGTGAGTTAAAGCTTACATGTTTACACAAGTCTACCTATCTAATAATGTTCACTTTTTACTCAATGATATCAAGAACTTTTGTTAAATTAACTTCAAACTTTCTATTAAAAAGACTATCATTCCACTTCTTTTCCTGATTCTCTGTCAGCTTAGTAAGCCTTAAGCAGGTGAGATGGTCCTAGTATGTACCTGGTCCAGTAGCCCCTCCTGTCTGTGACTTGAAAGGATGTATGAGGGTTGTATCAACTCCGGGGAAGCTGTCCTTGAGCGAGTTATGTTGATAGTACTCGACCAGGTCCTGTGTGTAAAACATGTTAAACAGCTAAATAAGCCTCACCATCACAAGTAATAATTCTCGAAAAAAATAAAAAAATGAAATTACAATGAAACCAAGATATATGCATTAATGCCAACCCCTACAGGGTACAGTTGTGGGATCGGTCACCGTTACACCATGTGCAGTGTACGCACACGACGTGCAATGTGGACATGATGAAATACTATGCGATAACAATGTGCACAAAACTGTGACAGCTAGCGTTTAGTGGTTGGATAGGTGTCCTGGTCGATATCTATTAAGGAATACAATTTTGTATTTAAACCTATATCTTTCCTGATATTCAAAACATATACGATTACTGTATTTCACTCGAGTCTCTGTACATATACGATTACTGTATTTTCACTCGAGTCTCTGTATGTATACGATTACTGTATTTCACTGGAGTCTCTGTACATATATGATTACTGTATTTCACTCGAGTCTCTGTGCATATACGATTACTGTATTTCACTGGAGTCTCTGTATATATACGATTACTGTATTTTCACTCGAGTCACAGTACATATACGATTACTGTATTTCACTCGAGTCTCTGTACATATACGATAACTGTATTTTCACTGGAGTCTCTGTATATATACGATTGCTGTATTTCACTGGAGTCTCTGTACATATACGATTACTGTAGTTCACTCGAGTCTCTGTATATATACGATTACTGTATTTCACTGGAGTCTCTGTATATATACGATTACTGTATTTCACTGGAGTCTCTGTAGATATACGATTACTGTATTTCACTGGAGTCTCTGTATATATACGATTACTGTATTTCACTGGAGTCTCTGTATATATACGATTACTGTATTTCACTGGAGTCTCTGTACATATATGATTACTGTATTTTCACTCGAGTCTCTGTATATATACGATTACTGTATTTCACTTAAGTCTCTGTATATATATTATTACTGTATTTTCACTCGAGTCTCTGTACATATACGATTACTGTGTTTCACTCGAGTCTCTGTACATATGCGATTACTGTATTTCACTCGAGTCTCTGTATGTATACGATTACTGTATTTCACTGGAGTCTCTGTACATATATGATTACTGTATTTCACTCGAGTCTCTGTGCATATACTATTACTGTATTTCACTGGAGTCTCTGTAAGAACAATCAACCGATGTTACCAAATCCCAAATATAAGCAAGTTTTGTCACATAATGGTGTGCCTGATTGTTGTGCATACTATGTGCAGACTGTGTGTGCATGATTTGCGCACGGTCATTTTAGTGCATTGTGCAATCACACAACTGTAAATTGTTTTTATAACCTCAGTAGCTATCAAGCATATGTTAACTGTCCCTGTCACAACCATGACACATACTAATGAACACTCACTGTGTTAGCTAGGCACACTTTCACAATCTTTAAAGTATAACCGGTTTCCAAGATCAAATTTAAATATTAAACCTATAACAACAACATTATGTTAACTTTTTGAATATCAACATACATTTCTGGCTTCCAAATCTGACAAAATAATTCTCCTGGGTGCTTAGCAATTTTGGAAAATTGGAATGATTGCAAAACCGTCTAAACTCAGTCGAAAGAGACAATATTTTCAACTGTCAGTAAATTTTATTGTGTATATATTTAGACAAAAAAAGGGATTGGGGCACTTGCTAAACAGCAAATTCCATATCAATAAACATAAATCTAAATGTTCCAGGCTTTTCTAGAAGTAAAGCACAGTTTTGAAAAATGTCCCCAAATATACAATTTAGATAAAGCCCATGATGATCTTTCCACCCATGAAGAGAATTTGATTCTAGTACATCTGAGTCGAGGGAAGAAGATTTTTGAAATACATGTATTGGTTATTTTCCCTTTGAGGTAAGGGCAGGAACCCCAATTTTATGAATTGATAACCTCTTCCACCAAGGATGATTCTATTCCATTCACCGTTTTTTCAGTCAAAAATTTAAAAAGTTTATGGACGACACACAACATCAGATGAAAGGTGACCTAAAAATCCTAAGAAGGAGCTCTATCTTGGGTAAACAGGATTTTTTTTTTTTACCATACTTACATTCAAATTATGAAAGTATTTATCGACGTTAAGATAATAGTAGCTGTCCTCTTTGTGGATTTTGATATTCTTGACCCCTTCAGTTGCTCTAAAAATAAACACACCTTAGAAAATGGTCAGCTGGTAGACTCAACAAAATAGCCACACTGCTACTGACCACACTGACACAATATCTCAAAGCTTCAGCTGAGTCAAACCAAATTTACCTGAAATTTTTATTTTTCATCTTTTTTATTTCTATTCACACATCTTTTCGTCCTCAAGTAACAATTGGTGTTAGTACAAATCACCTATGTGCAGTAGTTTTTATCTACTGAATCAAACTCTTAATTTCACAAAATATTATCTTACTTGGAGATGTCTGTGTAGCTTGTAGCTTGCGTAGCAATGTGGCTCTGAATTAGTAGCATTTCAGCCTAATGCATATATATATATACTCACAGGCAAGGACTTAAAGAAGTTGGTATCCGCCAAGAAAAAGTAATTTTCTGCGTTACGTTCCACTCGGATATGGCGTACTTGGTTATCATATCTAGAAAGAAGAGAAGGAATAGTGTCCATACAAGCAGGCCAAAGGTCATGCAGTGACGGAACTCGGATAGTTATCAGTATAGTACATTGGAGTTATGTATGTTATTAGATGTTAGGACGGTATGTGGTTGGAGGGAAGACTAACAATATATACCTATCTCATATTTCATTAAGTATACATGTAGCTACAAACGTTTAATAAATTATAACAATTCTGAACTTTTATCAAAACTTTAAATAAGTAGTGATAATCTAAAGAGAAGATATAACTGAACATAGAAGTTGAAGAGGAAGCCATCTCGATCACTGACAGACGGTTACATCATCACAGCAACAGTAGAATTGAACAAGATTCCCCCCCCACCCCCCACCCCCCACCCTCCAAAATAAGCTCCTGGTTTGTGTTGAAATATAACATTTTTTTCCAGTTCCAGAACCCAACTCCTCTATTTAAACCCACCTTTACATTATTTGTCACCTAGCAACCCCATAATCAATTGTTCAAAAGGGTGATATCCATCTATTTCCAAGCTATTTATAGCTTGACTTTGACCTAGTATTCTAAAATCAATAGAAATCTTCCTCTTCCTATTTGCACCAACAATCAAGCTTTGGTGTAGATCTGAAGTATCCTCAAAAATTGGCATCCAAAAACCAACACTTTCCTAAAATTTCAGTCTATAACCATAGCTGTTAATGGGACTTGAAACATAAACAAACAAACGATTTACAGCCACTGTGACTTTCACTTAGTGACCCGAAAATCAAAAAGCTTCTTGCCTTCCTCTAGACATATAAGCCTCCAATCAACCAAAATTGACTTACATAGAATTTATTTTTGCAAAATTTCAATCTAAATACAGCTTCTTTTGTCTTGACTGATTACATACTGACCTAAAACTCTAGAATTTTTTCTCTTCAATGATTTGTTTTGAACACATACAGACAAGGAAACAGAAGGACAAAGCTACGACTATATGCTCCCATGATATTATAACTTTTAGGAGCATAAAAAACATACATGAAATAGAATTGGTAAATGTGGGAATAATACCATGCCTTATCATATAACATATACATCACATGCACAATAGACAGGTGTTCTGGTCATGTCACAGGCAAGAAAACACAGCTTAAGATATTAAGAATGGCTTATGAAAATTTCAATTAGATACATATAGCACCTGTATGCATCTAGGCAGTCACATCAAGTCACAGAGGTGTCACTGTATCCTTTTTAAGTCACAGAGGTGTCACTTAATCCTGTTTAAGTCACAGAGGTGTCACTTTAATCTTCTTATGTCACAGAGATGTCACTTTATCCCTCTTAAGTCACAGAGGTGTCACTTTATCCCTCTTAAGTCACAGAGGTGTCAATTAATCCTTCTTATGTCACAGAGATGTCACTTTATCCTTCGTAAATCACAGAGGTGGCACTTTATACTTCTTATGTCACAGAGGTGTCACTTAATCCTTCCTTTGTCACAGAGGTGTCACTTAATCCTTCTTCAGTCACTCAGTCACAGAGGTGTCACTTTATCCTTCTTATGTGTCACTTTAACCTTCGTAAATCACAGAGATGTCACTTCATACTTAGTAAGTCACAGAGGTGTCACTTTATCCTTCTTAAATCACAGAGCTGTTACATTATACTTCATAAGTTACAGAGGTGTCACTTTATTCTTCTCAAGTCACAGAGGTGTCACTTTATCCTTCTTAAATCACAGAGATGTCACTTTATACTTAGTAAGTCACAGAGGTGTCACTTTATCCTTCTTAAATCACAGAGCTGTTACTTTATACTTCATAAGTTACAGAGGTGTCACTTTATTCTTCTCAAGTCACAGAGGTGTCACTTTATCCTTCTCAAGTCACAGAGGTGTCACTTTATTCTTCTCAAGTCACAGAGGTGTCACGTTATACTTAGTAAGTCATAGAGGTGTCACTTTATCCTTCTTAAATCACAAAGATATTACTTCATACTTAGTAAGTCACAGATGTGTCACTCTACCCTTCTCAAGTCACAGAGGTGTCACTTTATCCTTCTTAAGTCACAGAGATGTCACTATCCTTCTCAAATCATAGAGGTGTCACTTTATTCTTAGTAAGTCACAGAGGTGTCACTTTATCCTTCTTAAGTAAGTCACAGAGGTGTCACTTTAATCTTTTTAAGTCATAGAGATGTCACTTTATCCTTAGTAAGTCACAGATATATCACTTTATCCTTCGTAAGTTATAGATGTCCTACTGTTCTGTATAAGTAAAAAATATGTCACATTGTCCTGCTTAAGTCGGAGAGGTGTCACATTGTTTTGACTTCATTGAGTTTCATTTGAGTCTTCCTTTGGATTCATTGGGTTAAGTAGATATGTGTTATTCTACTTCAATACTGTCAGTCTCCATGGGGGTCAGTTATAGCAATCCACAATACACACGTGAAAATAGAGATATTGTGTTTGAGGTTCTCTGAGAAAATCTCTCTTTTGAATTGAATGTGGTAAAAGCTGGCCATCTCCATTAGGGTTCATATGGGGTAAATACAGGTCAGTTTTAGAATCAATAATTTTAATATCCATAGGGGTTCATTTTGGGTAAATAGTTTGAAATTTACTGCAGTAAATGGTGTTGTTTTGCCTTCTGATAAATATAGTTACATTTATGTTTTGTTTGCTTCATGTGGTAAAGGGCACATCTGATAAGGTTGTGAGCATATAGATAATGCATGCTTAGTAAAAGAAAACTACATGCTTTCTGTAGCTTGAATGATTTAGAGCCAGATCTATGAGAAGCTATACTATCAAGATTAAGAGCCAGTATGATTTAGTTCTATTTTTTTGTAATCTCATTCTTCATTATCAATCAGTTGTATTCTTCCTAATCAATCAAGTTAACCATGCTTATTTCTGATATAAATCCATTAAAGTCATAAAGAAGATAAATATTTGTCTGAAAAAAACAAATATTATGAAAATAATGATTTTCACACATTTTTAACGAAAGACATTTATTTAAAGTCATCTTTTGATCAATGCAATGAAATTTTTTCTCAAACACCATTTGAAAAATATTAATTTCTTTTCATGATTCTAACTTATTTTATTTTTGTTACTTCTTATATTGAAACTGACAAATAATGCACAATAGGCCAATTTGTCCTTTTATCTTGGTATCCTGGTACTTACTTGATGCTCAGGGAGAGCTCGCCCTTACGGCCTGGGTTTTCACTGACTCGTATGAGGAAGGTTCCATTTTGCAGCCCCTTGAGTCGGTCAATAGCAGTTTCCCTCTGCATGTTACCCACAAACCTGAGTAGTCACACAACAAACACATCACAGCGTGAAGTAGGAAACATTCAAATCTCTTTCACTTACATTGGATATCTCCACATTTAGTATTATGATATGGACATTACCGCTAAGTTTTCATACATTAATCCATCTCTTATACCATAATATATATTAATGTAAATTGCAGTTGAATATAAAGTCACAGAAATGAGAAAAAAAAGCAATAGATTAGATGTATTCAAACAAGCCATGATAATCATAAGAGCTCTTTGTTAACGAGTTCAATATTGATCTACCTGCTTACACCAGATTCGGTCGTAAAAGTGATTATTTTTTCACAAAGAAACACATACAGTTACATTCTCTTGTCTATCACACTCCACAGCACAAGGACACAAAGGGAGACAATGTCTTGTCTTGCACAAGCCAAACAAGGGAGGTAACTTTAAAGCACATACGAACACAAGAACAGGCAGCCTCATTTTTGTATAAGAAATATTACAGATCACACATTTTGTTCAGCAATGTTTATAAATATTTTGATATCACACAATATCAGTTACTGAAGTCAATAAATTTATTTACATAATTTACCAGAATATTTTTTATTTAGATATAAAATGTTTCATCTAACAAACTGTCGTCTGCATTTATATGTTGTAGGAACATTAATGTCTTATGTTAGGTAAACCTTACATTAGTTTCCCTTGTATCTGGTAAATATCTATATTTGTGGTTTTATCTTCTATAAGGAGATATCCCTACACTTGGGCGAGCCTCCCTCTCCTCCTCCCAGGGTGTTTATGACTCGTCATCCATGTGTGTGACACCGTTCTATACGCTCACAACTGCCCTGTATGACCTGGCTCTGATTTTATCTAGTTATATCAATACCAAAGACCTGTTTTCTCTCTGCAAAGGTTATCATACCTAGACTAAGGAATGTTCGCTAGATATGTGAACTCTGTGCTTTATGTTAACATAACCCGACCTCTGAGAGTAACTCTAACCCTGGACGTGTCTCCACTATAGGTAACACTCGTAACCTTACCCCTGGGAGTATTCCCTACTTAAGGGAGTAACCATAACCAAGGGGCATGTCTGCACTGTAGTGAGAACTTGTAACCCCATCTCTGGAAGTATCTGTTACCCATTAGAGTAACCCTAACCCTGACAATGTCTCTACTGTACCTACCACTTGTAGCCCCATTTCTGGGAGTATCTGTTACCCATTAGAGTAACCCTAACCCTGACAATGTCTCTACTGTACCTACCACTTGTAACCCCATCTCTGGGAGTATCTGTTACCCATTAGAGTAACCCTAACCCTGACAATGTATCTACTGTACCTACCACTTGTAACCCTACCTATGGGAGTATCTGTTACCCATCAGAGTAACCCTAACCCTGACAATGTATCTACTGTACCTACCACTTGTAACCTTATCTCTGGGAGTATCTGTTACCCATTAGAGTAACCCTAACCCTGTGCATGTCTCCACTGTACCTACCACTTGTACGTTGTGAGACCCCTGTCCTCTATGTTGACGTAGCCCTCGCCCCCCTGAGCGTGGGGCCGTGGGGGTGATGTTACACGTCCATTTTCATTTATCTGTACATCCACATAGGAATCCTTCCGCGTGAGCTGTTACAGACAAGCATACAATACTTCACCACACAACACCATTCAAATAATCTGTCCTTGTTACTTTTATCTATTTTCATCCTAATTTAAAGTGAAATTTTACATATCATTTATTTAGAACATTTCCAAAGAAATGTACCGACATTTAAATTCATATCTTCCACAAGGTTTATGATTTTGGAAGAGTTTTTCATGATAAATTTTGTTTATCTAGAATTAATTGTAATGCAGAGAGGGGCAGCCAAATCAACCTAAATCACTATTGAACGGCTAATTTAACAGATGTTTTTAGTCCTATAACCCAAAGACACAATACACAAGTATATGACTGATTAAAAATAGTATAGAAAAGACACCAGAGAACATCATCTACAGCTTCTGGACAGGAAAGTATTGAATATCCTCTTTACATCCTGAATAGGAAACCATTGAATATCTTCTTTATATCGTGAATAGGAAACCATTGAATATCTTCTTCATATCCTGAATAGGAAACCATTGAATATCTTCTTTATATCGTGAATAGGAAACCATTGAATATCTTCTTTATATTCTGAATAGGAAACCATTGAATATCTCCTTCATATCCTGAACATAAATATATAAGAAACCATTGAATATCTTCTTGATATTCTGGCAGAAAACATTGAATATTCTCTGTATGTTCAAACACATTTTGGGGATGGATTTTAAACCAACTCATAAATAAAGCAGTTTTGGTGTTTGGTATTTATACAGTAGTCGGATTTAATCTTTTTCAAATTTTATTCAACATTTGTGATGAGAAATCATGGCAATTGTCTGACAAAGGTTTCTATCACACATTCAAGTAATTGAAATATTAATGGTACATATTCCCTTGTGTAATCAACATACCAGCCAGAAACAATGTTTAAAATAACATAACCATAATATTGTGGTGTTTCTCTCCATTTCATACCTCATTTCCTTAACCTAATTCATCAATTTAAACAAGAATTTGTAATTCCGATACAAACAGGTTGATTTGCAGATTTTAAGAAGAAACAGTGTTATTTGAAATAGTCCATCATGGTATGCATGCATCGGTAGAATCCACATGCATGCTTTTCATCCAGGGAGATCCAGGAAAACACCATGCTTAGTTACAATGTATTAACGATGAAAACAATACAAGTACTGCTATCTTTAAATGTTTCGAAAACCCTTACTTTATTCCAAAGCATTTTACTTTTCAGATGTCTTTGAAATTAAAGAAAGACTCCTTTATCATGTCATTATTATGCATTGAAGAATTAGGTGAGCATGCTCACAATATTCCCTATATTTTGGTAAGATGAAAATGCATAGCTTGGTTTGAAATTAATTTATTCAATAGCAAAGAAATGGTAGCAGTGGTACGGAGAAAGTAATACATTAGCTAAAGGTTGCTTGTAATACAAAAATAATTATGATGATAACAGCCACAATTATTATCATTTGGAGTTCTTCACATTACGAAACAGTGACCTTGACATTGAATTCTATCTTTAGCAAAAATGACCTTGACTTTGGATTAAGTGCTCAGAAACATGATTTATTCATACATTTTAATATAGTGCTGTTCCCTAAATGGAAAATAACTTAACTATTTTTCACTTCTTAAAAGCAAATCAGAGCACAGTATATGTTGTACTTATATAGATGCTATAGTATAATATATATATATATATGCTGTACTATAACATAGTGTTGTTGCAATCTTTTTCTCCTTAACGGAAATAATGTTTACTAATTTTCACTACCTGTTAACCAATCAGAGCACAGTATATATATATGCTGTAGTATAATACAGTGTTGTTAAAAACTGTTCTCCTAAACCGAAAATACCTTTACTAACTTTCGCTGCTCATTAGCCAATCAGAGCACAGTATTTGCTGTAGTAAAATATCAGTCATTTACGATCTATGAAACAACAACGATGCCTATATGCTAACAACGACAGTTCTAATGATCAGGCTGACAGACGATGATGCAGCACCAGAACACCATGCCACACGGCTAACACACGTAAAACCTACCAGTGAAACAGGTTAAAGTAGTCCAGACTTAGCCAAAATAGCCCATTACTCTGTAAAAACAGGTTAAAGTAGTCCAGACTTTGCCAAAATAGCCCATTACTCTGTAAAACAGGTTAAAGTAGCCCAGACTTAGCCAAAGTAGACCATTACTCTGTAAAAACAGGTAAAAGGAGTCCAGAATTGGCCAAAATAGCCCATTACTCTGTAAAACAGGTTAAAGTAACCCAGACTTAGCCAAAGTAGACCATTCCTCTGTAAAAACAGGTTAAAGGAGTCCAGAATTGGCCAAAATAGCCCACTACTCTGTAAAACAGGTTAAAGTAGCCCAGCCTTAGCCAAAATAGCCCATTACTCTGTAAAGACAGGTTAAAGTAGTCCAGACTTTGTCAAAATAGCCCATTACTCTGTTAAAACAGGTTAAAGTAGTCCAGACTTTGCCAAAATAGCCCATTACTCTGTTAAAACAGGTTAAAGTAGTCCAGACTTAGCCAAAATAACCCATTACTCTGTCAAAACTGGTTAAAGTAGTCCAGACTTAGCCAAAATAGCCCATTACTCTGTAAAAACGCTGGTCACTGTATCATAATTTTCATCGGAAGACTCTAGATCAGAGGGTAACTAACTCTGACAAAAGAAAACCAGCAATGAGTAACATATACATATATATAGGTACAGGAAGTCAGGAAACTGAACTTCAGTAACATATACATATATATTTAGGTACAGGAAGTCAGGAAACTGAACTTCAGTAACATATACATATATATTTAGGTACAGGAAGTCAGGAAACTGAACTTCAGTAACATATACATATAAATATATAGGTACAGGATGTCAGGAAACTGAACTTTGAGTGATTACGGTCGTCATCATATGTACTTATAATAAGGAGCTTTGTACTGAAATAATTCTTACCTTTTCTTCTTTCACTAGATGTTGGGGGAACCAGCCCTCAACAATCTCTATCTTGCCCTGTGTAACATAACGACACATGATTTCAGTAATGATTTCATAATATATATATACATCAAAGTAATCAAATAATTATCACAATTGTTGATAAGGTCAGTGTACAGCAGTGACATTACAAGGTCGGTGTACAGCAGTGACATTACAAGGTCCGTGTACAGCAGTGACATTACAAGGTCCGTGTACAGCAGTGACATTATAAGGTCCGTGCACAGCAGTGACATTACAAGGTCCATGTACAGCAGTGACATTACAAGGTCAGTGTACAGCAGTGACATTATAAAGACAATATGTGTTTTGTTCTGCATATTTTGCAGGTGTAAGGTCAATAGGCATGCTACAAACTAAATGATCATGACACATGTCCAATGAAAATGTTTCAAAACTAGCAAAATATACATAAATATGACTGTCAACATCAAATGAATGTATACATGTATTTTATCTAATTATGTTATATGACTTTAACCAGGATATGCAAGTGAAATTATTTGTTATCATAGCTAATTAAAAGAAGGGAGTGGAGCATTGTATTAAAAGCCCATGTACCTTCCACCACTGGGGGTCCGTACAGTTGATAATGTCTATGAGCATGTTTTTGCGGAATGACAGGACATTCCTTCCCGCTCCAGGAGCTGGTTGTCCTATGTAATCACAAAGGGCCTTCACCCTGCCTGTGGAGACAAAAACACAGGTGTAAGTACACAGGTGTAACATGAAGGTATACTTAACCCTACAGAACAACCACATCAATGTAATCACAACGGGCCTTCACCCTGCCTGTGGAGACAAAAACACATAGGTGTAACTGCAGGTTTTAGTACACAGGTGTAACATAAAGGTACACTAAACCCTACAGACAGAACACCAGATCAATGTAATAATAGTTTATACTAACCATACAATGTAACAAGGCAAAACATTGTGAGCAATCCTTAAACTGATTCGAGAACTAACTTAAATTTGAAGGAAATTGTATTGTGATGTAATCCATTGACCCTTATCGTAATGATTCTTTATTTACCAAACTGTAAAACTGTAATCTCAAGATCAATCCCTTGTTAAGGAATATGGTTGATGACCTACGTATAAGTACATTACATGCATCTTTCTAATGGCTGAATTGCTCTGCTGCAAAATAAGCGATGTTTACAATATGGAAATCTTTATCAATGATTCAGGTGACATAAGTCACAGAGACTTTATGCTGATATAAAAAATTCAATGATTGTAGTTTGAAGTCAAAATTTAGGTGACTGAGTCACCTACTTTTGACAAGCAATACTCCACTATCACAACATATACCTACATACCAAATTTGGTAACTGAGATAAAATTTAATAGGAGATATTGCCCTAACTCTGTCACACTGACCTATCATGACACCCTGATTATCTTAAGATGTATCATGTACTTACAGGAGATACATGATCAACAGCTTCTATGAATGCGATAAGACTTCAATACAGTTCACCTTTTGCAGTTATAATGTACAACATTTCCACCACCAAACGAGCATAAGGTTATACCAGTATATATCATTAGTAATTCTAAGCCTGTTCACTTCTGTTATTGGTCTAACAATTTGTAAAGATAATGCTGTTATAAATACAAATCTTTCCTTAAACTCACATACATAGTTCATTCAAAAGAGACAAACTGAAATGACTTTGATTCACAAGAAAAGAATCTTTTTGCCAATCATCTCAAGATCAAAATAACTACCATTCAGCAGAGGCATTGGTGCAGCAAGAGCATAAGGAGTGGGGGAAGGTGTTGGATGGGGGAAGGTGTCGGGATGGGGGAAGGTGTCGGGAAGGGGGAAGGTGTTGGATGGGGGAAGGTGTTGGGAAGGGGGAAGGGGTTGGATAGGGGAAGGTGTTGGATGGGGTAAGGTGTTGCGATGGGGGGAGGGGGTGGGGGGGGGAGGGGGTGGGGGGGGGGGGGGGTGTGGGGGGGGGGGGGGGTGTGGGGGGGGGGGAGGTGGGGGGGGGGGGGGTGTGGGGGGGGGGGAAGGTGTTGGGTGGGGGAAGGTGTTGCATGGGGGAAGGTGTCGGGAAGGGGGAAGGGGTTGGGATGGGGGGAGGGGTTGGGATGGGGGAATGTGTTAGGATGGGGGAAGGTCAACTGAGGCTTACAGAAACAGGAGGGTGGAGAGATACAGACACAGGTGATTGGACAGCGGAGAGATACAGACAAAGTAGGGTGACACTGGGGAGATACATAAACAGTTGGGTGGACCCTGGGGAGATACAGAATCAGGAGGAGGGAACACTTGTGGGATAAAGACACAGGAGGGAGACACAGAGGAGATACAGAAACAGGAGGGTGGAGAGATACAGACAAAGTAGGGTGACACTGGGGAGATACAGAAACAGGAGGGGGGCACACTGGTGGGATACAGACACAGGAGGGAGACACTGGGGAGAACAGACACAGGAGGGAGCCACAGAGGAGATACATAATCAGTTTGGTGGACACTGGGGAGATACAGAAACAGGAGGGGGGCACACTGGTGGGATACAGACACAGGAGGGAGCCACAGAGGAGATACAGAAACAGGAGGGTGGAGAGATACAGACACAGGTGATTGGACAGCGGAGAGATACAGACAAAGTAGGGTGACACTGGGGAGATACAGAATCAGGAGGAGGGAACACTTGTGGGATAAAGACACAGGAGGGAGCCACAGAGGAGATACATAAACAGTTGGGTGGACCCTGGGGAGATACAGAATCAGGAGGAGGGAACACTTGTGGGATAAAGACACAGGAGGGAGCCACAGAGGAGATACAGAAACAGGAGGGTGTACACTTGGGAGATACAGACACAGGTGATTGGACAGCGGAGAGATACAGACAAAGTAGGGTGACACTGGGGAGATACATAAACAGTTGGGTGGACCCTGGGGAGATACAGAACCAGGAGGGGGGCACACTGGGAAGGTGTTGGACGGGGGAAGGTGTTGGGATGAGGGAAGATGTTGGGAAGGGGGAAGGTGTTGGATGGGGGAAGGTGTTGGGATGAGGGAAGATGTTGGGAAGGGGGAAGGTGTTGGATGGGGGAAGGTGTTGCGATGGGGGAAGGTGTTGGATAGGAGAAGGTGTTGGGAAGGGGGAAGGTGTTGGAAAGGGTGAAGGTGTTGGGATGGGGGAAGGTGTTGGGATGGGGGAATGTGTTAGGATGGGGGAAGGTCTTGGGATGGGGGAAGGTCTTGGGATGGGGGAAGGTCAACTGAGGCTTACAGAAACAGGAGGGTGGAGAGATACAGACACAGGTGATTGGACAGCGGAGAGATACAGACAAAGTAGGGTGACACTGGGGAGATACAGACACAGGTGGGTGGACACTTGGGAGATAGAGACACAGGAGGGTGGACACTGGGGAGATACAGACACAGGAGGGTGGACACTGGGGAGATACAGAAACAGGTGAGTGGACAGCGGGGAGATACAGAAACAGGAGGGTGGAGAGATACAGAAACAGGAGGGTGGACACTAGGCAGATACAGAAACAGGAGGTAGGAAGGTGGTGAGATACAGAAACAGGAGGGTGTACACTTGGGAGATACAGACACAGGAGGGAGACACTGGGGAGAACAGACACAGGAGGGGGACACTGGGGAAATACATAAACAGTGTGGTGGACACTGAGGAGATACAGAAACAGGAGGGGGGCACTGGTGGGACAGACACAGGAGGGAGACACAGAGGAGATACAGACACAGGAGGGGGACACTGGAGGGATAGACACAGGAGGGAGACACAGAGGAGATACAGAAACAGTTTGGTGGACACTGGGGAGATAAAGAAACAGTTTGGTGGACACTGGGGAGATACATAAACAGGATTGGGGGACACTGGTGGGTACAGACACAGGAGGGAGACACAGAGGAGATACATAATCAGTTTGGTGGACACTGGGGAGATAAAGAAACAGTGTGGTGGACACTGGGGAGATAAAGAAACAGTTTGGTGGACGCTGGGGAGATACATAAACAGTTGGGTGGACACTGGGGAGATACAGAAACAGGAGGGGGGCACACTGGGGAGATACAGAAACAGGAGGGGGGCACACTGGTGGGATACAGACACAGGAGGGAGACACAGAGGATAAACAGAAACAGTTTGGTGGACACTGGGGAGATACAGAAACAGTTTGGTGGACACTGGGGAGATACAGAAACAGTTGGGTGGACACTGGGGAGATACAGAAACAGGAGTAGGGAACACTGGTGGGATAAAGACACAGGAGGGAGACACAGAGGAGATACAGAAACAGCTTGGTGGACACTGGGGAGATACAGAAACAGGAGTGGGGCACACTGGTGGGATACAGACACAGGAGGGAGACACAGAGGAGATACAGAAACAGTTTGGTGGACACTGGGGAGATACAGAAACAGGAGTGGGGCACACTGGTGGGATACAGACACAGGAGCGGGGGACAGTGTGGCGATACAGACACAAGAGAAGGTAATCGTTGTAGACTAGTGGGATACAGACACAAGAGAGAGAGGGAGATTGATGGAATGAATTGTTCCAGGTTGTAACATGAAATTCCATGTTTCGGGATGAAATGCAGCCGCCCTATACATCTACAGGCAGTAAGTTAAGGCATTCATTTAAAGCAAATATAATGCTATAAAGGATTGCTTGAATAAAATGAAAAAAGTGAGAAAATGTGGACGGAATTTCGGGCTACCAGCAGCTTTAAAATAAAAGCTAGCATGCTGAAACAACTTACTGAGTCTCCGTGACTCTTTCGTTTCTGTAAAATTGAAACAGACCCTTTGAACACAACCAGTCTAGTTTTGTTCTTTAAACTAGTTATAATATGCATTCAAATGTTGAAATACATTTCTTTGAACTTACTATAAAGATTACCCAAACTTATCCATCATGATTAATATTAGAACATCATATGTAATTGTTACCAGGGTAATAATAAGTAAAAACACTTTTAAGTGTAAAGTGATGGTAACATATATCTCACTTTCCTATTTCAGGGAACCTGAGTATCACTGAGTATATTTAGTTTTCCTGAGTTAAATGTTATCTCATATAAACCATTGGGAACTTAAAAAAATTAACATGCTATAATAAAACATGTTTTAATTGAACCCAAGGGACCAAAATAATTAGTTCTTAATTAGGGGACTTATAGCATTTTTCAAGGTTACAGTAAGCACTGTGCTGTAGTGAGGATCACGTGTGGTGTGTTTGTAGGGTACAGTGTATCATCGTGTGATGTAGCGCGAGGCACACATGCTTTACCTGAGATACAGGTGAGTTCTTCAGGTGTATACAAGCTATGTTAGTCATTCGAGTTTTGCAGTGCACCAGGACAGATGCTATAGTGTGATATTCCCACACCTTTGCTGAATTTATGTTGGAATAGAAGTTGTTCTTGTTTTGTTTTCTTTGTTACACTGGTATGTAAGTGGGACAAGGACCCTCTCTACATTAAAACGTTTCTAGTGAACCAAAGGGGACCATATTAATTAGTTTTCTAATGTCTGTAAAACATGTTTACAACAAACTGCAGGAGACAAAAATAAATAGTTCCCAGGTTACTTGTTATTTACGAGCCCAAGCCAGCTAGATTTGAGACAAAAGGATGCAGGGTTACACTCTTCCACTGATAGAGGGAAACAAAATTATCGGAAATCTGAAATAACTTACCAACAACTCGAGGAGGAATCGGGGGCACTGTAAAATAAAACAACATTGATCAACATTGTTAATTAATGCTCAAACTATATAAACTAACAACTGAAATTAACAAAATAATAAATTCCTAAGCACTGTTTATTAATTTTTAGTAATATTTTATAAAAACACATTCACAAAACATAATTATGAATAATTTCTCCAATCAAAGAAGACTGTTCTCCCTTTCCGATGTTATATTTCCATCCAATCAACCTTTTTGTGATTCTTCAATAAATCATTAGTCTCAGTCTGTAAAATATTCTATTACAGTGTGCCTAGTATATAAGAGCAAACAATTAATTACCTGTAGCTATAGAATGAACCATGGAATGGTAATGCTGCAGGGAAATTGGTCCATGCATATGTCAGTGTTAATAACATGTACTCACCTTGGCCATTATGTTGTTTATATAATTAAGCTTATTACATGATATAATATCAAAGCAAAGAAAATGGCAGGAAATCAAAGCATTCGCTGAAATCCAAAAGCAACTGGTACTTTTATGCAAAATTTCATTGAATAATATACCATTATACAAACAGATTACTAGTAGTTAAAGGGAAATTTATAAACAGGTTATAGAAAGAAAAAATAACAGAATAAAGTTTACTGTTGATGGGCATTTGCTTTAAACATGTACGTGTAATCATGTTAGAATTAATTGCCTTAGTAGGCAGGACGAAAGCTTCCTGGTAAATAGACCCTTGTTGTCAGAATGCCCCAAACAATGCAGTCAGTGGTTCTGATATTATGCTCCAGTGTCTGTTCTGTAAATCAGGAGATAATGCCACTCTCGTTTTTGTCTATTCTGACAACAGACAATACATAAATGCCATAACTTCCCGATACAAAATAGTGAGATCAGTTGAAATTTTTAGTGAATTTAGGTCAAAAATAGGGAGAAATTTTCTCTGAATAAGTGAGAAATTAGCAAGAAATATTCTTGCATGTAACATAGTATTATCTGAATTATGTTGTTCTGTAGCCACTACCTACTTTGTTGGAAACAATATGGTTATTTTAAGCAATTACATGTATATAGAGAGGTTTGCATGTGAGTTAATTTCTTATATAGCTATCAACATTTTTAATTAAATGAATGACAATGCTTCCATTAACAATTTTCAACAAGAGGCCCAGGGGCCTTAATAGCTCACCTGGTATTTTATTTTTCAATTTAAAACCTGCTGAGTACCATTCAGGTTTATCAAAGGAGTACAAGAAACAAAGTTGCAAGAAGAACTACATATAAATCTGTTTTGATGGGAAAGACAACAAGAAAATGAGTTTCCATGTTATGTCCCAATATTCTTCTATTTCCCCTATTGGGCCTCACATGCACCTTTTTATACAAATTAAACAAAATTGATTCTTTTGTCCCTAAGCATGGTTCAGACTGCATTTGGTTTAAATCCCTTCACTTGTATAGTGGGAGAGAAAAAAATCCTCTATTTCCCCTATTGGGCCCCGCCCCTATGCTCCCAGAGGGGCCACATCCTCCGTTTATACAAACTTGAGGCTCCTTTGTCCAAAGATACTCCAAAACAAATTTGGTCAAAATCCTTCTATTGATTGATAAGAAGATTTTTTAAAGATTTACCTATTTTCCCCCAATTTGGCCTCGCCCCTCTGTCCCCAGGGGGACCATATCCTCTGTTTATACAAACTGAGAACCCTTGGGCCAATGATGCTCCAGACCAAATTTGGTCAAAATCCCTTCATCGGTACAAAAGGAGAAGGATCTTTGATGTTTTCCTCTATTTCCCCTAATGGGCCCCACCCATCTGCCCCTAGAAGGGGGCCCACACACCTCAGTTTATACAAAATTGATTCTTTTGTCCCTAATCATGCTTCTGACTGCATTTGGTTTAAATCCCTTCACTGTTATAGCAGGAGAAAATTTGATCAATCCTCTGAGCCGTTCAGGACAAGTAGCCTTTAAAAGGAAAAAGTTGACGGACGCCGGATGCTGCGGCATGGGATAAGCTCACTTGGCCCTTCGGGCCAGGTGAGCTAAAAAAAATGATGTAAGTTGCAGTAAGCCAACAGTTCCATTCCCATAGCCACCTCATAGAGCATTTGTAGACAGATTGTCAGTTACATTCCCATAGCCACCTCATAGAGCATTTGTAGACAGATTGTCAGTTACATTCCCATAGCCACCTCATAGAGCATTTGTAGACAGATTGTCAGTTACATTCCCATAGCCACCTCATAGAGCATTTGTAGACAGATTGTCAGTCACCAAACCAGTTATCATTTTAACCAGTGATTTCCTTTGAAGCAAGAGTTGCATATAAAATGGGAAGTTCTGGGAAGTTTTACATCAATTTTTAATTGTTGATGTTTTCAATGATGGTATCGTCTTCAATTTCAAAATTTTCTTTTATCTCTTACTAATGTAATGACATCAAAAAAATATCTGTATTGAAGTTAAACTTGGATAATTCTGACCGGATTTGGGTTTAATGTCATAAAGAAAGGAGTTGATTTACTCAAAGAAAATCACTGTAAAATAAAAACTGAGGGCCAGTATGTAGCAGTGCGTATCTACCTGAGACACCAGCTCCTGTGGTAGAAAATTAAATAGCTCCTAGTGTCTGATTATACAAACTGTGATAATGTCAAATCTGTCTATATAAACATCTCTCTGTCTCGTAGTATACACCTCACAGTAATGTAACATCTCTCTATATAAACATCTCTCTGTCTCGGAGTATACACCTCACAGTAATGTCAAATCTGTCTATATAAACATCTCTCTGTCTCGGAGAATACACCTCACAATAATGTAATATCTCTCTATATAAACATCTCTCTGTCTCGGAGAATACACCTCACAGTAATGTAATATCTCTCTATATAAACATCTCTCTGTCTCGGAGTAACACCTCACAATACTGTGAAATATCTCTACCATAAATAAACAAGTCAGTCTCCAATTATACAACTCACAATAGTGTGAAATTTCCTGACATTAGCAGTCACAAGCTTGTAGCAAATTTCGGGAAATAATTCCAAATTTTTAATAAACGTTGTTTGTATCCCAATTTAACTGTAACGTGTACAATACATGTGATATATGCTAACAAACTGTATGTATTGTGATACATATCACATCGTGAGTCACATTTGGGACCACAGTATCGTGATACGTATTGTATTGTCATGTTAATGTATCGTGTACTACATCAACATACAATCTATAGGACATATAAAAGCCTAGTAACAAACTATCACCATGAACACTGACTTAAAGGACTAGTAACACACTATCACCATAAACACAGACTTAAAGGACTAGTAACACACTATCACCATAAACACAGACTTAAAGGACTAGTAACACACTATCACCATGAACACTGACTTAAATGACTAGTAACACACTATCACCATGAACACAGACTTAAAGGACTAGTAACACACTATCACCATGAACACAGACTTAAAGGCCTAGTAACACACTATCACCATAAACACAGACTTAAAGGCCTAGTAACACACCATGAACACTGACTTAAAGGACTAGTAACACACTATCACCATGAACACTGACTTAAAGGACTAGTAACACACTATCACAATGAACACAGACTTAAAGGCCTAGTAACACGCTATCACCATGAACACAGACTTAAAGACCGAGTAACACACTATCACCATGAACACAGGCCTAAAGGCCTAGTAACACGCTATCACCATGAAAACAGACTTAAAGGCCTAGTAACACACTATCACCATGAATACTTACTTAAAGGACTAGTAACACGCTATCACCATGAACACAGACTTAAAGACCGAGTAACACACTATCACCATGAACACAGGCTTAAAGGCCTAGTAACACGCTATCACCATGAACACAGACTTAAAGGCCTAGTAACACACTATCACCATGAACACAGACTTAAAGG